ATAAGCCAAGCTCACAGTTGTAATTTATACTTAAATATAAAAATCAAATTACTTTCATTGAGGTCATATTTCAACCGATCTAACAAAATCTGACTTGAAACTTAAACGGATCCTTAAGTTAATTTAATTCGATTAACCAAGTAAATTGGGCTTCACCTAATCAACCTTAACCAATTCAAACACCAAGATCAGACTTGTCTAAATAAAGAAAAAATCATTGTGATTAATTGAGCTTAAACTTGTTTGAATAAAAAAAAATTATAATCAGAGAACTAAGCTGAAGCTTGGACTAAACTGAATAAAAGTTTATATTTGATTTTCTATCAAGTACAAAAGTTGTTAGCAAATGGTTTATCAAGCAGGTCATTATAAAAACTGACCTCATACATTAACCAAAAATTTATAAAAGTTAAAAACTAAAAAGAATCATGTGTCAGCAACATCAGCATGAGTAACATCCTCATCAACAGAAACAGCAACAAGGACGTCAGCCTCCTCTGCCTCATCCATCTTGTACTTAGGCTTCAAAACTACCTCAAGCTTGGATATATGGCCTCATCATCGTCATCTTCTTTTTTTCCTCATCTTCCTTGGCCTAATTAAAAAAGGCTTGAATATGATATTATTGATATCAATATTAGAGAAGTTAAGGTCAAGGTTGAAAAATTTAAAACGTATCTAATCTTTGGCTAGTTACACTGAGCACACTTTTTCTAAAGAACTTTAACTTTATCTGGAAGAATTCATTGGAAGCTTTGTACTCCTTAATAGCTTTTTTTTCAAATTTTTTTCGTCTTTTTTTTGCCTCAAACTCATACCTCAACCTCATATCTCGCCTTACGCATTATTGAGATTAAGCTGGGTCTATTTCCTCATAGACACAACTAAAGTTTTATCAACCAAGATGGCCTTTAGCTTCACTGTTAGTGCGATATTCCTCTTTATTTGCTAAGCCTCTTTCTTATGAGACTTATTAAGGCTAGACTTGATGCTACCCAGAGCATCTAAACTCTTTTTATGCTTCTCGGTTAGGACAGCTACATCATTTTCAGCCTTTAGCAGATAGGCCATAGCCAAGTCAATGTGGTGGAAGGCTTAGTTGGTATTGTTTAAAGGCTTAACTGAGAATTTTTATTGGACTACATAAAATGAAGTTAGGCTTAGCAAAATGAAAAACAATAAGAAATTGAGCTAAAGTCAGACAGTACTTACCAAGAAGAGAGACTGCAATTTTGCATAACCTCTTCGCCATGTCAAGGCTCTTGGTGGGGTTATTGGTAGAAGTATAATCCAACCTCGTGAAGATTTTTTTTGAGCTAGGCCTTAGCACCTTCGCTTTAAGATTTTCTAAGATGGAAGAAGAGACCTTAACCTTTGGTTTTTTAGCAAAAGGTGTCGCGTGGAGAGCTCCTAACGAGTTAAAAACTTCATCTTTTAGGCTACTGGAGAGTGCTGCACCGAGGGATTGACAATCTTTTCCTTTTTGTGAGACAAAGTCTTGAGCTGAATTTTTTTTTAGTTTTTTTTTTGCTTAAGGTTGTACTGGTACAAGATAGAGTCAAAGTCATTGTTAGTAGACATCTTTGCAAAATAGAGCTAACAGTTAGATACAAATTAAGTTAAAATAAAATCCTATGAGGTTACCTTAAACCTACCTCAGTATTTCATTTTGTTTATGACTTCGAAGGAAGTCAACCTTTAGGCATCAATAACGAGCTTCCCCTTATGGGTGTGCTCTATTATTTTATTTTGATCTGATAGATCCAAGACAAAAAGAGCCACTTGTACATCTTCAAAAATGTCAGGCACATTTATTATTTCCCACACCTTGACCTTGTAACGCCCTCGACCTCGGTCATACTACCTTTATTTATTTTTTATTTTTAGAAGTAAAAAAAGAGTAACTTTAAATTTTTTATTGAGTATAGATAATCGATGAACAATTTTTTTATTAGGTTGAGCTGGTACATAATATTACCTCTTATCACTGAGATGCATTTTAATAGAAAAAAATTCCTTGAATAGAGAAAGAGAATAAAGAATATTCAGATGTTGACAAAGAATGATGAAAGTAACTATATACCATACAAAGTTAGGTGTGAGCTAAGTGATAGCTAAATTATAAGAATTAAAAATTAAAACAAACAAAGAATGAAGTGAAAATTTTAGATCGACCATGAAGGAATCCCAATATATATAAAGCTGATGTGACTTCAGTTTATTAGTGACTTGATCTGAAGAGTTCGACATTATTATACTGTAACCCTTTCTGACAAAAATGAAGGTCGTTGTTATAGTATAGACGTGATAAGTTGAACATATGTTAAGATAATTTTTAAGATTTGCCATGTCTTTTAGTTCACTCATCACGTCCTTGAGGTTATACCGAAGTCATAAGGAGTATGTACAAGGACCTCGACCAGTTCGTTTTACTTCACAAAATTTCCCTCATCGTCATCACTTTCCTTAATCGAGGTACTTTCTTCCTCTTATTCCTCTTTGAAACCCTTTTTATTGCCAAAATCTTACTGTAAAAAAACTTTGACTCTTGAACATGAGCATGATTTTAAGGCTAAACTATAGTTAAGAGTAACTCAACTTCAGAGAAAAAAGGACAAGGTAGAGACCCTTCAAGAAAAAAATAATCTTAATAAGAATTGATCAAGGGGGAATAAAAGTGACAATGGGAGTATCGATAGGTGAAAGAGCAAAAATAAAAGAAAATTGATGAGACTGAACCCCAGAAGGAGAAATAACTGAAGATAAGGGAAGGTTGGTCAATCTTCTATGATCAACTTAAGAGATAAAAAAAAGGTGGTGAATTTTATAGGTCGAAGTCTATTTAAGCACATAGTTCCTTTGTGCTTAGGTCCCATTTTCCTCTTACCTGAGCATTTTTTTCATTTTTGTTGCTGTCTTTTCTTGGACATCATGTTAAACTAGAAGGCTATTTTCTCACAATTATGGCCTCTGATGACTAATGGAATCAGATCGTTATCATTTTGCCTGAGCTAACCTTTTATAGGTTTACCTTAAAACTCTCAACTTTTCCAAAACTTATATTAGAAGATATGGTTAAAAATATATACCGAAGAAAGCAAAAGAAAACTTTAAGGTTGAAAAACTTTTGAGATCAAAAAATTAAGATAAAACTGAAAGTAAAAAAATAAAAAAGTGGAAATGAAAGCTCTAATAGCTTTTTATATAGCCGTATTGTAGATCAGATGAGCGACACAAACCATGTTATGTGTCAAATAAATATGAGAAGATATCTTTTCATCTTTCCTCTTTAAATTTTTTCTCTTAAACTACCTTTCTCCTCATTTTAATGCAGTCATACCTGTTAAATTGAATGAATCTTAGGTCAAACTAGTTGATAAAACAAGCCTTCAAGACAAATCGGATGCCTAGCTCATCATCAGAGTTCGAAGTAAAAACTCAAATCCAAACTCTTGAAATAAAATACAAGTCTCACGTAGACCAGATGAACTTTACTACTACTATTGTATCATTCCGAACAAAAACACCTCGATGACCTTTTAAGCCAGCTGTGCACTCAACCTAAGACATATGCTTAAGATCATACCTCCATAAGGTCAGACCACGACTTAAGGCTAATTGTACCCTAATACTGATCCCTTTTATGACATCGGCTTCGAAAAATCAAATTTTATGTCATTTTCTTTTACCTTACCTGCCCTACACTGGATGCGTCAATCATACATCCAGTAGTCTGATATTTAGATTGTTTGATAGGAGGACAAAATGTTAAGAGCATTTAATGGTCAAAAGGGATATAATGGTTTTTTTTTAATTAGAAGCCTTCAGTAGATAACTAAAGGTAATTTTGATATTTATGCCGACTTGATATATCAGGTCAGTTTGACACATCTAGTGCCACATCAGCTCGACATTGTCCTTATTGTTCTTTACTGGTCTTTCATTGCTTATCTATAAATATGAAGGTCTAGACACCATTAAGACAAGTTCACACTACTTCTATTTTTCCTTATCACTTTTTTTCCAACCTCTCCCATTTTGACTTATGCGGTAGAGTACAAATGTAAGTAACATTCTCTACCTTTGCCTCCAACTATTCTTCTTTTCTATTTTTCCAGAATCACCCTAAAATAGGAGCTCAACATAAACATATTGATTTAAGAAAACTCATAATGTCATTTAATCACTTGCCTTTGGATCTCACGTAAGTATAACACTTGCAACCAAATTTAATTTTTTGGATTTAATTTTTTGGTGACAAAAAAAATAGTTGAAAAGTGAAACCTCTGATTATAAATGGTAGTTCAATTTTTTATAAGAGGTGTTCATTCGATAAATTTGATTAATTTTGATTGGAATTATTTAAAATTAAATTAATTAAATTATATTATTTTACTTTAATAAAGCGAATCAAATATGTAAGTTTTGAAAATTAATTGACCAAACTAAATTCGATCAATTTGGTTAATTTTTTTCGATTAATTGAATATTACATGTATTTAAGTTAAATTATATTTTTAATATTTAATATTCAAAATAAATTAAATAATATTATTTAACAAAATATTCAAATACCAAATTATTAAATTAAAAATTTTAATAATTTTTAAAATAACATGATTTATTTCATGAATTTTTAGTTTTATATTTGAGTTTTATTATATTTTAACAAAAATTTCGGTTAATTTGATATTCAAATCGCATTAATTAAAAATTTAAATTTTTTAAAAATTATTTTTGATAATCAATGAAATTAATTCAATAATTGATCAATTAACTAAATTAAATTGATTAAAATTGAATTATGAATACTTGTATTTTTTATTATAATTGAACAATTATAAATTATAATAATTATAAATTATAATAAAAATTATAGATAAAATTATTTTATCATTACAAAATTTTATATTATAAAAAGTAAAATGCTCTGGTTTACGGGAAAATCCTTACAATCCCACCAAGCTCCCAAATAAAAGGTCGAATTTTTTTTTGTTAATTATAGTGGATTGCATTTGTAAATCCACTCCTTCAAAGTTCAAACAAAGACAAAAGCGAAGAAAAAAATCCCTCCCGCCATTGACGCGTTTGACCATTCTTCTTAAGCACGACCAAAAAACCTCCAGAGCATAGGAAAAAACCAAAAAAAAAAAAAAAAAGAGAAAAAATAAAAAGAAAAGAAGAAAAACCCATCTTCGAGACAGCAATTATTGGAAGTCTGAAGAAGAACAGAGAGCCACAGAATTCGATAAACAAGTGAAAAAAAGAAAAATATTGGATAATAGTAAAAAAAAATTTCGAAAAAAGATCCGTAGATGAAAGGGAAATCGAAGAGCTCGAAGAGAAAGCTGGGGTTGGCAACTGCCCTTTTCTTATGCTCACTCTCATTCCTTGCTGGCTTGTTTGCTTCCACTTTCTTCTCTCAGGTAACTTGTAAATATGTTGTTCATTTGAAGACTTTATAAATTGGGTTTTGCCGTTAATTGATGGGACTTTTGTAGGATGTGCCGATTATTAAACCCAGGCTGAGAAGGTTGGAGGTGGTGCATGTGGAGGGTGAGGAGTATCGTGATCCCATGCCAATTGGAGAAACCGGGGAGAGTTTGATTGAATCTATCCCGTTTCAGGTTCCTCTCATCTTTTGTTTCCAGCGTTCTTTTTTCTGGTTTAGTGCATTGGATTTTAAATGATGGCTTTGCTAATTATCAGAGATTGGTGCCAAACGTTTGGGTTTTTTTTTTTTTTTTTTGGTTAAAGGATTTGATTCTAAATGCTTTCTCTTGGTTTTAGGTTTTGATCCTTGATAGTAGCGCTTAACTTATTAATTAAAGTATCTTGAATTTTAGGTGGGATATGGTCCATGATCCAAAAATGGAAAGTCATAATCTGTGGTAAAAACCCAGAAAAATGAGAGGATACGGATGCAAACAAATGGTATAGGATATATGAGTAGCGATATTCAAGTTATTGTGTATTACAGAGTTAAAATTTTATGAAGGCCCGTTTAACCCAAATTCACAGAAAGTAGTGATGAAAAAGAACAAAGATTTTATGTGAATATTTTACAGAATTCTATGTTCGAGGTCTGCTAGGAACATGTTAAAACTGCCCAAATGGAAGACATGTTAAGAAAACAATAGTAAATTTCTTTATGGTGCATTTCTTTCAGGTGTTGCTGGCTGAAGAAATGGTCTACAAGTATCCTTTTAGTAGACTAACTTCCTATGCCTGCTTCCCTTTAAATGCAGGTTTTAAGTTGGAAACCACGAGCTTACTATTTTCCCAACTTTGCAACAGCAGAACAATGCAAGCATGTAATTGAAATGGCAAAGTTGAACCTTAAACCATCTAATTTGGCTTTGCGCAAGGGAGAAACTGAAGAAAGCACCAAAGGAACTAGAACAAGGTGGTGCCCTTATATGAAAATATTTCTGTTTATTATCAATTTCTTATTGATTTTGAGTTAAATGGTAAATTATAAGTCGACGATATTATTAAATGGTTCAAATTAAAACCTGCATGGTTTTAATCAAGACCAAATAATATTTTACCCCTTGTGTCAGTGCATGGTTTGAATGGGTGAATGCTGATAGCTTGCTTTCTTGATGTTGCTGTAAATTTTGTGTTGTCAATTTATACTTTACTTATTGGCCAAAAAAATTTATACTTCCCTCGGAAACAGTTCAGGAACTTTTATTAGTACATCAGAAGATGAAACTGGGACATTGGACTTGATTGAGAAAAAAATTGCAAAGGCTACAAGTATCCCTCAGAGCCATGGAGAGGTACATCTTTCTCTAATGGAACTAGCGTTATCTCATGGTTGTAACCTGTAAGTTAAGTTAGTTTATTTGACATTATTGGAGAAAGGTTAAGCAAATAAGCTGGACACTGTTTCTGTGGTTCAAGTTCCTTTTCCTGTTTCATTGATTTTTTTTCCCATTTTTTATGTCTGAAAATTTAAGGGAATTTTAAACTTCGTTATTGTAAGAAAGTGCACCACAGAGTGTTCTGAATGGTACTTTGAAGACAAATCAATTTAACTTTTGAAAGACACCTTAATCATAATCATCCCACCAAACCAATTTTTAAGGCTTATAAATGTGCCACCATTTTGTTTGTTCCTGAAATATGTGATATATCTTATCTAATTCCTTAAATATATTCTGGCTTCTTTGGCTTATGGCACAAGGCTTACTCTGGTCTATGCATGTATCATTTTCTTGTAATTATATACTTACACCCTACAACAATCACATTAATTGCATTGTAGGTTGGTAAATCCTATTACATAGTTGCAGTGAAAGTAGAATCTCGATCTTTTACATTGAGGGGGGGGGGGGGGGGGGGAGGAGAGAAAGATACAGGTTCTTGGAATTATACCGCAAAGTTATGGGTGTTCAAAGGTCTTTCCCTAGAAAGGGTGGAAAACTCTCATATTGTCATTATATCCCTCTGAGATATAGTCAAATACAAGTTCTGCATGTTTTTTTCAATTTCGATGGTTTTTACTGATTTAAATGTGCCAGGTAGTTTGGATTGTTGGAAAGTATGTGATCAATATGGCTATAAGCTGATATGCTACGAATAGTACCTTGGTATATTTTCTCTGTGTTGAAAATTCAAAATCACAAATCTTTCTTATAGGTTATTTTTAATTGCTCTAATTTGAAATTCTCACATATTGCAGGCATTTAATATTTTGCGGTATGAGATTGGACAGAAGTATGATTCTCATTATGATGCATTCAATCCGTCTGAATATGGTCCGCAGTCAAGCCAAAGGGTACATTCTTATTATGTGAACTTCATCATTACATGCTTGTTTAATCACAGTTTCTGGTTTTTTATGTGCATTTCTGGTGAACTGAAATGATTAATGCTCTGTCGCGTTTAAGTCAATAGTGTAAATAGTATAGTTGGATGTGGAATTTAATTATTTAGTATAGTGTAAATACCATACAAGTTCTGGGTTCTATCTTGTGATTATAATAAATGAGACTTATCTTTATATGGATGATAAAACCTTTTCTTACTAAACAATCAGTTATGCTGGTGTCTTTACTTATTTATTCTTAGTAAATGAATTATAAATAGATGCCACAGTTGAATTACATTATATTACTGAAGTGACAAGAAGTATGAATACATCTTTTCAGGATGGTTTTTCTGTCACATAACTGCCTCTTGTGTAGATAGCATTTTAGTTTTTTCTTCTATGGTTGTGGTGCCAATACGCATCTTTATGCAAGCCTCACCTTGTTTATAGGTTATTCTTTGAGGCTTCATTGTGGTGGCAAGTTAGTTCTGGATACATCTCGTATGATACAATGTATTGTTCCCTCCATTTTTCTGTAATTTTCACCATGCCATGGTATGAGTGTCAATGCCAAAGAACTAAAACATTGTGCTTAACTAGCCTTTAACCTTCTCTCGCAGGTTGCATCATTCTTGTTGTATTTATCTGATGTAGAAGAAGGTGGAGAAACAATGTTCCCATTTGAGGTAGACATTGAAATACTAACTTGCTTTATCTCTCCTTCCTTTGTTATAGTAAACATTCATGCTGAGTTTTGGTACCGACCTCATTATTTTGGTTGCAGAATGACATGAGAATTAAAGGCTATGACTACAGACAATGCATCGGTTTAAAAATAAAGCCACGAAGAGGGGATGGACTTTTATTCTATTCACTCTTCTTGAATGGCACTATTGATCCGGTAATTTTCGTGCCCGCAAATCAAATTTAATTCATGTTGCATTGCTTCCAGTCCCACGGTTTAAGAGATTTCTGAAATAGATCTATGTTAACAATATTGAGGCATTACTATAGCTGTTATAACACTCCAAAAAGTAGTACTCTTTTCGTTTCCCCATCTACTTGTGTTTAAACTTTGGGTTGCAGGTTAGAGCTAAATCCTCATTGTAGCTTTTTAATTATGGGTTACTATTTCTCATGTTCTTTCTCTGTTTCAACATTATTTGCAGACATCTCTTCATGGAAGCTGTCCAGTGATCAGAGGGGAGAAATGGGTTGCCACAAAGTGGATTAGAGACCAAGAGCAAAAAGACTAATAAAGTTGCTCAAACATTCAGAGATATCAATGTTGTTATTAATCATCATAAATCAGTGATTTGTAAAGGATAACTTTTTTATGATTTCACGCCCACTTTTTTTGTCTTTTCTATTGGCAATAACCCCGTAACGTGCCCATGTACACCTTTTATTAAGGTCGTAAACGGATTGAATATGAAAGAATGAATAAATGTTTGTGGTTTGTTTATTTATTTTTAGAAGTATTTATATTTGGTTTGTGTTTGTTAAGAAAATTATTTTATTTTTTTATGTTCGATTCATTTGAATAGTAAGTTATTTGTGTTTTATTCATGTTTAATTTAATTAAATTAAACAAATTTATTCGTAAATATTAGATAAACATGTTTATGAATATATATAAAAAAATATATTTATAAATAATAAACAAGTCATAACTAAATAAATTTAAATAAATAAATTTTAAAAAAACATAATCAAAGTTAATCAAATATAAACGAACTCCAAAAAAGGATTAAGGTAAAAAAATCAAAATATAATTTTATTAGTATTATAATTAATAAATAACAAATGAATAACAAATGTAAAAAAATGAACAAATTTTAAATAACTTATTTATGAATATAAATGAACCAATCAAATTTTTATTCATATTTAGTTTGTTTAATAAATGAATATAAAAATATTATTTAAAATTATTTATTAAATTTAATAAATGAATAACAACAAATAGTAACCAAATATGTTAATGAATAATTTATCAAAAATTATATTTATTTACACCTCTTCCTTTTGTAAAAAAAATGTAATTGAAGAAACAATTTAAATTAAAACATATCTACTCTATTTTTCAAAGTTCACAAAATAATATGGAAAAGATAAAGTGATATAGTTAAATTATTACAAAAATCAACATGTTTTGTAAAAATTTAAAAATATATTTCGTATTTAACGTATATAAATTATGATGTGATAACTTTTGTATAAAATTTGTATTTAACATAAATATATATAAACGAATTTCCGTGTTTAAGTTTAGTTTAAGGTCTCATTTGATCTGGGGCGAGGGATTTACTTTCCATTATCTTCCCCCACGTGTCAGTTTGTTATAAATTCACAAACCATAGACTGCACACGAGTGTAGAAGAGAACTCTCCCAGGTATATCACTTATGACCGTTGAGGCCAAAACCCTTCTTGCTATGTAACGGCTAGTGCCCTTTTTTTTTTTTTTTTAATTTTTTTAAATGTCATAATTGGATATGATTTTTTTAATATGACATGATAATACGATATAAAATGATATAAAAAATTATGTATATATTTTAGAAAGTATATTTTATGTTTATTCATATTGATATAAATTTAGATATTATATAATTCGTGTCGTATATATATTGATTCATCTAAATACTTGACATGATATAAATAATACGTTTAATTTAATCTTATCATAAGAATACATGTTTAATATATTTAACACATTTAACATATTTTTTATATTTATTTTAATTTATTATAAATATAAAAAAATTATTTTAAACATTTAATTATGATATCTATTTAATAATTATTATAAAATTATTTTTTTATATTAATGATATAAATATAATATTAATATTTGTTTTATACATTGTTATTTTATTTTTTAATTTTAATAATTTATTAGTTTAAATTTGATGCTAAAAATTAATATAATTATATAATATAAATTAAAATTAAAATATATATATTAAATACATATTAAATGAGTATTAAATTTTTTTTTAATGTGTAAGTAAAATTTTAAATTATTAATATATTAAATTTATTAAGTTGTAAATAATAAATAATTTATAATTATTTATTATTTTTGTGATGTTTTTATATATATTCTTATTAATCATGTTTATTTACGTATATTTAATGATATTTATTCATGTATATTTATATTATTTTATTTATTTATGTTATGTTTAAATAAATTGATTATATACGTGTCATATCATATATAATATCATATTTTAAATTTATTATATTTATATTTAAAATTTAAATATATTTTATAATTCGTATGTATTCACGCATTGCAAGTTCTACTCATAATATTTTTTGAGAATTAGAAAAATAAAATTCAGATGATTGGCAGTCATTTTTGTCGATCTTTTTCTCAAAATCCAAAAGGACAATCCAAATTAAACTTAATTTTCTTTTGTTCGTCAATATTCTTTCAATCTTCATCAAAATCTTTGCAAATTTCTCGGTCACCGATTCACCGGAAAAAAAAAATGAATCTTCGGTTGCTTAGAGGATTGCATGTTCGTGTTAGGCAAGCAAAGCTCGAAGACGGTTGTTGATTCTCAGAACGAAGATGGGGATGCTACCAGTGAGTCTTCGACATCATCTTCTTCGAGAATCGGGAAGATAAAGGGAAAAAAATTCTATTTCATTCAAGATTTGGGTTATTGTTGATGCAATTTGCCTTCATGTCTTTTTCTTGAATTAGAGTGGTGTATGTTGTTTAGTGTTCATTTCAAAATAGGTTTTTGCTTGTCTGACTGAATTTAAAACCCTGAAAACCCTAATCGGCAATTCTATTTGGTAACGGGTTTTTACAGGTTAATTTGTTTGCTAAATTTCAATTTATGTATTGGCTTTGAATGAAATTTGTTAGGGTGATGGGGGTTAATTGAGATTTTGAATTTTGGTGAAATAAGTTTATAATTGATAATTGATCTCTTGTTTTTAGTAAATTGAGTTTATTAAGGTTAAAACAAAAGAAAAAACAATATTACTTGTGTTTTCTAGCTGCTAAGAAATGGTTTTCTGTTTATTGAAATCTTGTGCTGGAGCAGATGATGGGAGTATCTGATCCTGATTATGCTATGCCTGAACGATCTATACCTTAAAAAATGCCTTGATGTTTGTGTAATTGCACTTTATAAAAGTAACTATAATAAAAGAGAGAGAAGAGTGGGATGTTTCTGTCTGCAATTTTGCATTGTTTTCATCTCTTTTAATAAGTGTGCTCTTCTGAATGGTGCAGAATAAATCATCAAATGACACCAGTCCGTAAGCATTGAATACTCTAAACAAATTTACATCTCAAATTAAGAAGCCTACACACCGCAATTATTCTCCTCTGAACTAGGTCCCCCCGGAAAAAAGATTGATTCTCACTTGAAAAGAAAAATAAATAAGCATGCTGCAGGTTATATCGCAGATGTAATATATATATTTTTTTCTGTTGAGCATTTTTTTTAGTTTTTGACCAAATGCTAATGCAAGTGCTTTATTTCAGGAAAGTAGATGGCATGAATTTAACTCTTGATGAGACCCTAGGAGATTCAAATCCTCATTACTGCAGAGTTTTGAGAGAAAAAATGACAGCAAGAGAGGCTGCACACAAGGCAACGAAGGCTTGTAAAGCAGCAACGGTGGAAGCATCTGGGTGTAGATTACTCCAAGAAGCCAGGTAGGATTTTGCTTGCATTCAGGACATAATAATGTGGTTTATTTTCCTTCCTCTCAACTTATTCATTCTCATCTTGAAGGATTTGAAGCAAAGAAGCGGAAGAACTGCTACTAAAAGCTGAGAAAACTGCAGCTGAGGTTTATGAATCAGCAGCAGCCTTGGGAGTGATAATGTATGATATACCTAACTGTCCTCAGAGTACTTGTCAGATTGAAACATCTTCAGTAAATATAGCAGGTTCTGCTAGTCATACTGTTAGAGCATGTTTTATAACAGCATTTGAGTTCGATAAACAAGTGGCTGCTGCTGTAAAGACTGCATTCGTGAGGCATGCATGTTGCCCCTCTTTTAGTAAAGATGAATTTAAAGACCTTTTAAAAAAAATCAATGAGAATTCTGATACAGGTGATGGCAATCTAGAGTCATAGGAGTTCTCTTCAGAGTGTGAATCAGAGCCAATGTCAGAACTTGAGACATTGACTCAAAAAGACAGTTTTAAGTCTGAAGACTTCAATTGCAAGATGTCGGATGTGGAGTCTAGACAAAGGAAATTCAAGAGGAGGAATTCTCTTGAAAAGTTTAACAGTAACACGGAAAAACTTGTGGAAATGATTCTTAAGAGGCGTAAATGTTTACAAGAGGATGAACTTTCATCACTTGCTACAATGGTTGCAACATGTGGTTTAAATGCTGCCTTAGCAGAAGTAGAAAACAGTAAGCTACATAATTCATGTTTTATTGCTGATCATCCCTCTGCTTCAGCACTTAATTTTTCTCGAAGAACATCTTCAATTCGAACAGGAACAGTAAGAAAAATTAACCAAACTGGACAATTTGACTTGGAACTCCCAAGTCTAGACAAGGTTTTGGCACATGACCAAGCTTGAACGAGAGGTCCAGGAAGGAAGAAGCCGGAGGAATGAGTCTAAATATGAAAGTGCTGAGGAAGAGATTGAAGAGAAAGAAAAAAATTTTCAAAGAGAATTCTGAAGTGGACCATAAAAACTCAGCTACTTCTGTTGAGGCCATCCCTCACTTGGGAAGTATATGGGTTAATCACTCATCAAACTTGAAAATGAAATTCAAGAGGTGAAAAGGAATTGTGGTAACACATATGAGCTCAATGAGGTGCCTAGTCATAAGAAAGGTGATATTTTGGAAATACCTAGTCTGGATAAGTTTCTGGTGAGACATGTCTCAAGACTAGAAAGAGAAATTGAGGAAGCAAATAACAGAAGAAGAAACAATGATCAGGTTGAGAAAGTCAATGTGGCTAATTTGGGGAATGAAGTTCTATCCGAGAAGAATGTCCCCTGCGCTAATGGAGGAGTGTTTGGAAAAGAAAATATCAACTTGAATAAGGAAGTTAATTAGAACTGAAACCGAAGATAGCCTGGACAAAATCCTGGTGAAGCCATTGCATAGTTGGAGAGGGAAAACATTCATACCGTGTCATCAGGAAGCAGTTATGGGAACCCTAGGAACCGCAAAAAGACAAGGAGGAACCCATGTCACAGATTGTGCGAGCTTGGACAAAGTATTAATGGAGTATGCTTCTAGACAAGAGAAGAGAAAATGAGGTTCAATGCAAGTGAAGAAATGGTGAAGGTAAAAGAAGGGCGGTGTAAACGTGTCATCTATGAATGAAGATGGTAGCCTGGGCCAAATTTTGGTTAAACACAATTCAAGATTAGAGAAAGAGAAGATGGGCACCACTGAGCAAACCACAAGCGAGATTAGATTCTCTATATCTCGTAGAGAAGCAAGGGAGAGAGAGTTGCAAGAAGCATGGGGAGGCTTAAGCTTAGGAAACTCCATCCGACCACATTTCTCCAGGCTTGAACGGGACAAGGCAAGTTTCTCTCAATGTTACATGAGTAATTTTTTAGTCTTTCTGTAATTTTTCATATTTTACTGAACTTTGGTTGGTTCTTTTCTTTTCAGGCTCCTTGGAGAAAAGCTGAAGACGAGGAAACGATGCAGGCCATGAAGGTGTGTAGCCCATTATCGCAGTTTGATCTCTGCACTTAACAATTTGTACAAAAAATTTGTAATATATACTGCTTTTTTAGATTAATTGAACGCTTTCTATCTCTGTATTTAACAGTTTCTCCCAAATCATCCCCTTTATTCGCACAAATATGTTAAATTTTGTCTTTCCATAATAACCAGCTTTTTACTCTGGAAATCCAAATTGTGAATTCACTAGTACTCTGTGTTTCTAATTTTTCTTGTTACTCGCATCCTAGCTAATGTATTATAAACGAAACTCTTCAATTTCAGGGAATCCACATATGCCCGACTTAAATAAAACCTGGGATAATACTTGTAGCAAAACTTTAATGTAACTTTTGTCACTTCTTGAAATGGTTTATCCAGTACTGACAAATATTAGAGGAAATTTTGTTAAGAAAAATATAAAAAATATAAAAATATACGATTTAAAATTTTAATAAAAATTAAATATAAATAAAAAATATATATTTTGTGTTTAGTACATTAATACAAATAATTTTTTATATTTTACATATATTTATAATAAAATAATGCAACATGAAGATCTATTTTTTTTATATTTTTAATATAATCTTAGACATCCTTATCTTATATTTTATTTAGATGAAAAAAATATTACGTGCATAAATTTTTTTTAAATTCATAATCTTCAAATATTAATTTTTGTAATATATTAACTAATTCAAGAAATAATTTACAAGATCTGATTAAATCTACCCATGTTAGTGAGTTTTTTTTATCAAATAAATAAATAAGCTACCGCAATTTCTAACCTCTATACCCTGTTGGCCCCACATGCATTGCTTTATTATTTGCAACTACTTCATTGTACTTCATTGTACTTCATTGTCTGTCGTGTCTCTGCATTCCCTTATTTCCCTTCCTTTGCCTCTTCGTAGTAACAATTTCATTATCTCTCCAGTTCCTTCTTTCTTCTAAAACTCATCTTCTTCCAACTCCTCCTTCAAAACCTCAATCCCGTTTGATCAAACCTTTTCCCTCATCTTATCATCCACCATGGGAGGAGGAAATGGCCAAAAATCCAAGATGGCACGTGAGAAGAACATGGAAAAGCAAAAAGCGGCTGCCAAAGGTATTTGCGAAGTTTCTCCTTTCTTCTTTTCTATCTCTTATCTGTCTGGCTCTTATTATTATTATTATTATTTTGAGAACTTCTATTTTAGTTAGATCTATCCCTCATCTTAAGCTTTGCTTTTGTTCTATTTTTGTTTTGATAGGAAGCCAGCTTGAGTCTAACAAGAAGGCCATGACCATTCAGGTAGTATCTTCGCATGTTCTGGTTTCTCTTGTTAGATTTGTCACTGTCTTTGCTTGATCTGTTATTTTTGGCAAATGATTCATGATTATTTTGTTTCCTTGTGTATTAAGATTAAAATTGAGAATTTCGGATGAATATCTTTTCACTATGTTTGCAGCTTTCTTTAAAGTTTGTATATTTCTGGGTTTTGAGATATTAGGATGTATAGTCATGAGCATGATCGAATAATTGCTCATCCCTTTGTCACCCTTGAGAAAATTAGATCCTGGGTTAATACCCATTTCCTTGTTAGTTTGTTTTTATATTTGTATTTGGACTATTTGCAGTGATGTATTGTGAGTGAGGAGATTGGTTGTTTGCATTCTTTAGGTATTCTTAGCTTAAACTGTATAATTGCTGGAACTCATTGCCTAGTTCCCCTGCTTGAAATTATAATTGTGATTGAGGCTGTTATCACCTAACAATATCAATTGTTGTAAAATTCTGCGCAATTTTCTTCCACTGAAAAACCGTGAGAAATTATGACTTGTGTTTAGCTTCTGTTGCATGCGCTATGACAAATTAAAAATTTTGATGAGAAGAATCTGTTAGATTGTGTGAGCCTTCCTGAGATTTGCATCTCTTACTATAAAAGATTATTGGTGGCAAAAAATGCCTAACCATCTTTTTTGTATTTTGTATATCTCTAGATACTGTCTTATTTTTCCGTTTGCATGAAGTATGGTGATAAATGAAGACTTGCTGCATGGTGGTATCTGGTTACTAAATTCTATCTTCTTTGTTTTAGCTTTGGACCTGCTCAGCATCCATTTCTTAACACAAGATCATCTACAATGTAATGAGAATTCCACATAGATCGTGAAGATTACAGAATTTCTGCATTTCAAGTTTTTTTTACTCCTTCTAACCTTTTGTTTTCTTTCTGGTTTATAGATGTTGTTGGTTTTTTTTTTTTTAATCACTGATCACATGAAAGTGAAGCGAATTTATAGCTTTCAGTTAATCTTTCTTAGCTTTGATTATGCATTCAGTTATATCTTTAGTTAATATTGTTAAAATGAGTTAGGTGTGACTTGGCTTTTGATTGTTTTTCACATCATTGCTGGCCTTCCCTATGGTTCCTCTGATATCATTTCTGCTGAATGATGGTGATTGAGTACAGTGCAGGGTGTGCATGCAAACATTCATGTGTACCACAACAGAAGTGAAGTGCCACGAGCACGTTGAGGCAAAGCATCCTAAGTCTGATCTTTACGCATGTTTTCCTCATCTTAAAAAGTAATATACGAAACTCAGCAAAATGAACTGGGAGATCTAGACATCTTTTAGCGTGTATCTATCTTGTAACTTGCTACTTTATGATTAGCTTCTTCAAATCTCTTTCACAAGCTGATTTTACTGTTGTAATTGTCATGTTGTGTTCAGTCATGGGTGCCCATTGAATCTATTTGGATTTTTAGTAGTCTCTCTTGCTTGTTGCTTGGTAGGGATATAGTTAATGTGGTAAAGCTTGCAACTGTTGTTTGCACTTTTCACTGAAGCCTTTTAAAAGCATTAGTTGCCATGTAGAGCACTAAAACATTCATCAATCAGGACAGGCTGGTTAACCAATGGCAAAATGCTTTTGTCTAACCTAATTGACCTATTCAAGCGGTTAATAGTTGTTGCTTTTTCTTTACTGAAGGTACCGCTTGCATTATGAGATTTTATGGGTTCCTTGGCATTGAACATTGTCATGATAAAAACCGTCTGCTGTCGGCTCTAGCAAGTAATCGCATAAAAACGAGGAAACCTTAAAGACAAAATCCAGGAGGAGCTTGTCACTTTGTAAGGCAATTACCAGCGGCAATCACAGTCTTGAACTTGATGCCCTCTCAATAGGGTTGTAGCTTCATGAATGGTCTACTATGGATCCATCAAAGCCCGAAAGTTAAACGCCTTTGGGAATTTACTGTTCTTTAAATGAGTGCAACTGAGAAAATGAGGTAGCAACAAACAATTTAACCCGCTGCCAGTAAACATTGGTTCTTGTCTGCTTCTGTCTTTATCTTCTCGTGAGTTTAAAAAAAAAAACCCAAGAAAACACGCAAGAAAATCCGCACATTCGACACCAGGGAGGAAGCTTCCTTGTTCCCTGGTTTCAAGTTAACTTCAAGAAAAAAGTCAGCGAGAGTTAGCTAGACAGCCTCCAAGTTGGATCCACACCACACGGCAGAAGACTGAAAGGCATGACCTTTGTGTGAACTTTCCACAGTTTTACCCCCATGCTTACCAATCGCAAACAGTTAAAAACTCTTCCAACGCTCTTCCACTGCCTCTTCCACAAAGTTGACTTGACTTACTTTGCTTCCTTCCTGCTATCTTCCCCTTTTAACGTTTTCCTTGTTTTTGTGTTACTTATTCTTCCTTACCTCTCTTTGTCTCTCTGCAATGGCTCCTCTTTCTTTGTTTTCCTTGTTTCCTTGTTTCTTTCTACTTCTTTCCCCTGCCATTTCAACCAACTCTGAAGGTACTTACTAGTTCCTATCCATGAACTCTTTCCTCTTTAGGGTTCAAATTTCCATCTTTCTCTCCATTATTGTTTGCAAAAGATACCCTCTTGAAAGACGAGAGGGGATTTTCATTTTAATAGAGTGTAGAACAATTGTGTTAGATGGCTGAAGATGGGTTTTTCTTTTTCGTTTAAAATTTTTCTAATTTCATTTAAGCTTCAGAGTTGTTTTTGTTTTTTAGGAAAGCTACATAATAAAGCTGGGTGTTGATTAAAATTTACCATTTGTTGGTATCTGGTTTCAGGAAATGCTTTACATGCTTTGAGAAGAAGGCTTTCTGACCCCACCAATGTGTTGCAGAGTTGGGACCCTACTCTTGTCAATCCCTGCACTTGGTTTCATGTCACCTGTGATTCCAACAATCATGTGATTCGTTTGTAAGATTCCCTCTTCATTTCTCGATTTTCTTTTTATAAAAAATTACAATTTCCGTTTTTGGTCTTACCAGCCTTCATTGTCTTTATTATTTTCCTCTTTTTAGTTCTTTTGATTCTTTTCTTAAAATTTATTTACTTGATTTGATGCTAACTTTATTTTCTTTCAATTACAGGGACTTAGGGAACTCTAATATGTCTGGGACTTTGGGGCCTGAGCTAAGTCAACTCCAGCATCTGCAGTACTTGTATTGCTCTCTCTTCTGACAATTGCTTCTTGATTGTTACTATGCTTTGTTTGGTTGAACAGATAACTAGTTAAACCAAGGGAGCTTAAATTTAAAATTCTGTTTTCCATAATTACTAGTTTGAAGATGTGTTCTTTCAGCTCACATGTCATTGTATCCCCAGTTGAATTAATCATGCATGTTTAGTTTCAAAGTCCCCAAAATCAGAGGAAAATTATGGAGTCAAATTTACTATATTTGCCTTTATACATCATTTAGTTTTACCACACTTAAGCCTTTTTTCTTGAAATAAAAAAAAAAAAAAGATTTCCCCATTTGATATACTTTAATATAGTAATTAGGTGTGAAATTTTTGAATCTCTGCAGGGAGCTTTATAAAAATGACATACGAGGGAAAATTCCGAAGGAGTTGGGAAATCTGAAGGACCTTGTCAGCTTGGATATGTATGGTAACAGATTTGAAGGAGAAATACCGAAGTCTTTTGCCAAACTGAAGTCACTGAGATTCCTGTAAGCAACTTAACATTGATCAACCAAAAAGTTTGCTTCAACAGGTTGCTTGAATTAATTTGTTGTGCTTGAATCTATTCTACAGTCGTCTTAACAACAACAAACTGACGGGATCCATTCCAAGGGAGCTCACTACCCTCTCAAATCTTAAAATATTGTAAGTTCAGGGGAGAGGGGAAAAAAAAATCCAAAATCCTTTTTGTTCCATGTTTTGAATCTAATTTTTTTCACCTTGTTTGTTTCATTTTATGCGGTTTAATTTCAACTAACTGTCTATATTGCTAATGCAGTGATGTTTCTAATAATGATCTCTGTGGAACAATTCCAGTTGATGGCCCTTTTGCAATGTTTTCAATTCAAAGGTACCATTTTAATTCCAGTCATCATAGTTATATTTACAATCTTTAAGCTCTTTTTAACTCGAGAACATAAGACTTCGACATGGTTGTACATCTCTGCATTATTCGAAGGAACATTGCTTGAAGCAGAAGTATGCGGATGAACAGGAGGAAATAACTGAGTCCTCTATTCTATTTGCATGAATGCTAGGCGTAGCCATTTGGAGATGTATTAATGACACCTGCATATGTATTTTCGAACTATTAGAGTTGTTTGAAACAGTAATTTGGCTAGTTTTTGCTACCCTTCAATGCATATTGTTGATGTTCCTGGTTCTTGCATCTGATATAAGTGCACTACATGAACAATTGCTTTTGGACGAGTATCTTGGGAATGAAACTTATTTTGAATTAATAAGAAAGTCATCTGAAAATGCTTGACACCTGGGACTTCACCTTAAACACAACTTACCTGTATAAGGTATACGATATGGAGGCCAATTAGTTATTACTTGTAGTAGAATGTCGGGCCATGGAACAGAGCTTTATAAAAAGTCGAAGAATGATTCAGTTCGAAGCTTAAGCTAATATGTTAGGGCGAAAGAATAAATGTTATAATCTACAACGAAGGCAAAAGTGCAGTTACATATTTTGTTTGAATGTCATTATCGATCTAACTAAATCGATTGTTTTCTGTCTTGTTTCAGCTTTGAAAACAACAAACGCCTTAATGGACCGGAGCTGAAAGGACTTGTTCCTTATGACTTTGGCTGCTGAAGAAGCTAGCGTTCATGGAACTTACATACCATGACTGCAAAAAATGTGATGCCATGCCATATGCCGATATCTATGATTTAGCGGTGGGACTGACCGCAAGTTTTATGTAGTAGTTGATAATGGTATTCTGTATCTATATAGCCTGCAAAAATAATATGGTTTGAGTTTTAAAATCTCAAATTTTAACAAGTTTTGCAGAGAAATATCTTTGCTAGAATTAGTAATGATATATCAATGTGAATCTAAAATCTTGAACTTGAAGCTCAGATCTTGATGAATGGAGTAGGGGACAAGGGGCAGGACAGGTGCACTTACTGTCAATGATGTAACTACAATGAATTTCAAAGATGATTCATCACCCCATCTAGTTTTTCTTGTGTTTTCACAAATTTTTCTCCAATTCCATGCTTCACTTTTCCTAAAAAGCCCAGAAAGTAAAAGAGGATAGAGACAGAAAGTTTAGAGGCTGGCCTTGGCCTAAATCTTTGCTTCAAAGCAGAAAAAGAGGGGAAAGAGATCCCAAATAAATACAAGGGGAGGGACATTAGTGCAGAATAAGGAGTTGGGTTTGAACTTACCAGGTTGGCGTAACATATAACTAAAAGACGCGTGGCTAGCAGGGAGAGGGAGAAGAGTGTTTGATTCAAGAAAACGACTGGCTCAGCTAAACTCCTAAAGAGGCTTCCAATTTGATTTGGTAGCAGCCATCACATGTCAAACACGGAAGCGGACCACGAGGTTTTACCCGTACTCGCTGCCCTATTAATCCATTATTAATAATAATTATTTTTCAAAACTTTTAAATGACCTACTGCTACATAAGCGGGTATAACTTTATTTAGTAATCGCGAAAAGAGCCTGAAAAACAAACAAAGGCTCAAATTTCTCACCTCCGCTCGTTTATATCATGCAAAAAGAACATACCCAAAATTAATTTTCAAAGCTTTTAAATGACCTACTGCTACATAAGCGACCATAACTTCACGAAAAGAGCCTAAAAAAACAAAACACCCACAAGTTTCCCACTTTCGCCTGTTTATAACATGTGAAAAGAACACGCCCAAAATTATTTTCCATTTGTCTTCAAAACCTCCCAAGAGCCTCTAAATATAAAAGCTTTAACTTAGCATTCAAAAAGAAAAAATAAAACCCCAAGAAAGAAAAAAATGAGCGGTACTTTGCGTAGAAAAGCAGACATCGCTCGTCTGTTACACAAGCAACCATTCACCGACTTCACTGACCCAATCCACCCCTTTCGGAATCAAACACAGAAACAAACCAGACAGTATTTTCGGTTCTCAAATGTTCTAAGAAAAGTGAGAGAATATGAGATCTCCTCTTCTCTTTTTTATTCTTCTTCTTCATCTCCTTCTTCGACGGGGAAGTTTGGGTTTGTTACCTGGTATTTAGGAATGGTGACTTCATGCCCCGTTTTAACAAAAAGCATTACTTGCTCGCTTATCAATACAGCTGCTGATTTGTCTTCTCAGGTAAATTGATTTGTCTTCTCGTAAATTTTTTTATGTAAAGATAGGATTTTTATTGCTTGTTGATTAAAATAGGTGCATGTGCATTCTTCTTTTTGGTTAATAAGAAAGTGGAGGAAAAGGGAAGAAAATCTTTGAGGGTTAAATGGTGTCTTGAAGCTTCCCCACGTTTTTGTAAATGGGTCATTTTCAAAAAACTATGCTTTTCTGCATAATCACATGTGAGCCGTTGTTTGATTTTTGACTGACTAATATATGTGAGCTTTTGAATTTTTGACAAGTCAAATATGACTAATGTGGAACAGTAAATAAGTGTTAATTTCTTTTGGCATTTAAATATAAAGTTTCACAATTTGTTCATTTATTTCACCAACAAATATCATGTCATAATTAATCTTTTGAAAAATATGATATATGTTGATTTATTGGGTTTTTTAGTTGTTTAATTATCATTTGAACTTTGTTATGTAATGTTGGGTAAAATTCAGTCTACTTTCTTTTCAGCCTTTCTTCCACTTATAATTTCATTACTTTATTTGGTGTGCTACTGTTCTTTTTTAAAATTAACTATTTTCAGGCAGCTCTTCCGAGAACAATACTGTTGAAGAACTAAAAAAAAATTTTATATTCTATCACCTGGTTAAACTTGTTTCATTCGAAATCAGCTGCCCTCTGTTTTCTAGTTCTTTCCTTGGTGGCTAATTCTCACACTAACATATCTTGCACTGCTCATCGTGAAATCAATGCTTACTTGTGTAAAATTGTTCCAAATATCATAGACTAATTTTTATATGAGTAATTATGTCGGTTTTTATAGTGTCTGGTGTATGCATGACATTATGAACTATTTGCCTGCATTTTATTATATACTTATACACTTTTGTACACATGCAAAATCCTGTTTGTATATGTGTGCCCATGAGTGCCTTTTAATTAGTTGCATCAAGACTTGCATTTTTATTATTTCTTACTGTGGACTTCTATGGTCAGACAATTTCGAAGCCATCTTCGGAACCTTATGATTTTGTGAGGACGTTACGTATGGCTGGATATGGGATGTTAATATTAGGACCATCAGTGCATTTTTGGTTCAACTTAATGTCAAAACTCTTCCCAAAGAGGGATTTGATCACTACTTTTAAGAAAATGGCCATGGGTCAGCTACTTTTTGGGCCTGCCATGACTGTTGTTTTCTTCTCCTCGAATGCACGTCTAAAAGGTATGCACAACCTTTCCTTAAATGTCAAAGATGAACACAGCTTTGCAATTCTTTAGTTACTCTATTATGCTGATTATCCTGTCATAATTTTCATTTGCTCTACCTCATTTTTATATGAACAAACAACCATATTGCAAGGCATATTGAACTGCATCAATGTATAATGTTATTGCTCACGCAGCACTTTTTTTTTTTTCTAGCCATAGTTGTGATTGATAACTCTAACCTTTAAATAATTTTTAGCCTTATTCAACTAGGAGCCATGTTGCTTTTAACAGAATAATGCATTTACCTTACACATTCGAGAAGTAATTGCTCTTAAGTACTTTGCTTAAGCAGTTGCAATGGTTGTATGGCTCAGGTGAAAGTGGTGAAGAAATTGTTGCCAGATTAAAGCGTGACTTGCTCCCTACAATGTTAAATGGTGTCATGTACTGGCCCTTTTGTGATTTTATCACCTTCAGATTCATTCCAGTTCATTTGCAGGTATGGTTGATCTCCCTTACTCTGCCCCTCTCGCTTACTCTCGATTCTGTTGTGTTATTCTTTTCCCACTTTTCCTCCTTTGGCTTTGGGTAAACTTCTATTCTTGAAATTTATTCCTGGTGGCATTCTTTGACAGCCGCTGGTGAGCAATTCATTCTCGTATTTATGGACTGTCTATGTGACATACATGGCAAGTCTAGAGAAACCAGCCACAATTACCAGCTGATTGATCTGCTGCTATCACTTCCCTTGTGTACGAGATCCGACTTTCTACAACAGATAGAAGATCCCAAAAAAATTATGCGCTCACTGGAATCTAGTCCTAATATAATAGTGCAAGCATGCTTAAAGCGAAATTTACAGGGATGACTTATCTCGTTTTAGTTGTGAATTTTCGTCCCTCCCCTTCTTCCACCTTAAATATTGTAATTTTAGAATTTGATGCAAAAATCTAGTGATAGAAAGGATATTGAAGCACTTTGTAAAGACACTATTCGCTGTTATAAACTCTGAAGAGTATTATTCTATGAAATTCTTTTTCTTTTTCTGGGTAGCCCTACTGAGTACTGACAAAATTGGTGCCGATTCTAGTTATATTAGAGGAGAGACTGGTCCAAGCATGCCATCCGGGAATCATTGTTACATTTCTCAATCTAGCAGGAGATGAAGTATCATCTTCCGTTTTTAATTGTATGAATCTATCATACACAGCAGATCATTAAATTCTTCGCCAGACTGATGTCGTGTTTACTGGCTGGTCATATCTTTCACACTGTTATCATACTCAACCATGTTATTCCTCGTAATGAAATGGAAAATTATGCTGCGTATTGGAAAAGCAAACGTCAGAAAAAAATAGCAGGTTATCATCAATTACTCTAAATGGAAGCAGAAGACATTAGTGTCCAGAAACGTGGGAAACTAAACTGATGCCAATATAAAATCTGATATCAGAACTTCTAAATGATCTGTACAAAAGATATGCTCAAAATAGTTGCCCACATCTTCAAACAAACGTGGGCATTCGTGAGAAGAATTTGACCACAACGAAGTTTCAGAAGTAGAAAACATATTCAATTCTCTGTCAAACAGGGCTAAACTTGTTCAGCGCTGTTGTCCCACCTGCCCTATTCTCAGAATGCCAATAGTCCTGGATTGATGCAAGATATACTCCTATATTGTACCGTATATCACAAATTATTACAGCTTTATTTTATCCGAAATGAGTAGTTATTTAAAGCAAACAACTTGGTTGGTAATTGAGCAGGTAATCTTCTGAACAAACAACATTTATTTCTTTTCATTCATAACTCGGTACATGTGGGAATGGTTAAAAAATGATAAATGAAGAAAAACATAAAGCAGATATCAACTGAAGAATGATTGAAAAATGGGATCCCAATTGTATCTAGAATTGTACATTCCGCATATAAACATGTCTCCTAGTAATCACTGGTTCTATAATCTAAATGCAAGTTCGTCAACTGGATCCAAAACTTCCGCAGCTGCTATAATGTTCCCTTTACTCAAGCCCCCCCCCCCCCCCCCCTTCTCTTCTCCAAAAAACAGAAAGTATTCCTTTGGCAATGTTGGTAGAGATCACAAGACGAGATCAAAATTCAAGTAAGGCTGTAAGCGTATAAATTTGACTGAAAAAAGAACCTGAATCATACATTCATTCTAAACATTAAGTCACATATGATAATTTCCTACGCTGCTATATTGCTGGTTTATTGAATCAAGTTCTCCTCAGAGCTAAGACTAATTTTCTCAAGCTGCATAGCCCAATCTTCTCCAAGTACCTGAGGATTCAGTTCCATTGCAGCACGAAAGTCCAACATGGATATGTAAAAAGATTTTGCTGATTGTCGCAAGTAATTTTGAGGTAACCTTCCAGACCTTAACCCAGCCAGTCTTACAGAGGCCTCAATCAATCTTTTCATGTATGCATCCAAGCCATTATTCAGTAAGTTAACACAATCCACAGAAACACCAATTCCCTCCATCTCCAACTTCTGCTGCAAACGACTTCTTAATGATCTTGTGTCAGGTAGCTCACCTTTATTTTGACAGGTCTCTAAGTGATAATTATTACATGAGAAAGCATTCGAAAGAGCTTTGCGAGCTCCACCAAAATTTATGGAGATACCAAGAGGAGCAGTGACTGGACTTCTACTCTGAACACCTGGGCTTCCAGCCACCTGCTCAACCTCTTCCCCATCTTCCACAGATACAACATCAGCAGGAGGCCTGCTCCCAAGTGAAAGCAATTCAGTTGCACTCTGCTCTTGTGCCTTGGAAACTGAATCCTCGCATACAACACTTTGTGGCTTTCCAAGTGGACCTAGTGGACTAGGGCGGTCCCGAAACTTTCGATCCTGTTTGACAAGAGACCTACCTTTGCGAAGGGAAGGAGGAAATGCATCCCCATAAAGTGACTGAAGACAATTTCGCTGATAACCATTTCCAACTTGGAGGTTACTTCCTACTTTTCTAATAGCTTTCAAAGGTGGAACTTTAGAGATGCAAGCATTCCTGATAATGGATCTAATAAGCCGGTTGTGAAGAGGTATATTTTCCCTCCCAATGATCTTAATGCAAGACTTATCAAATTCACACTTGCCAATCTTTAGACTAAACAACCTTGTCAGCTGATCAAAGTACTTCTCAGCTCTTTGACGCCCAACCTTTCTTACTATAAGAACTTTTAGCTCTAAGGTGTCAACACGATCATGATTTTGGTTGAGCATCATCTTCCACTCCAACTACCTCAATTTCACTCAACAAAATACCACCATCAAAAGACAAATGCTAAAGCAGAATTTTTTCCATCAAAATCTCCAACTTTCAATAAAACCCAGATGGCAAATCACAGCCTCCTCGATAAAAGACCTAAAACCCTGATCCCGAAACCCTATTTACACCTGCAAATTAACCATAATTCAATCAATATAAAATCACAAAAATACACATTTACAAAATTTTAAGAAAAAAACAACAAAATACAAACAGAAATTTAGCTCAAAGAGGCGAAAAGCAAAATTCTATTAATTGATTAATGCTTATATTACTAACTAAAAACCAATATAAACAATAAAAGGGAAAATTTTGGTGAAATTAAAGAATTATCGATACAAGTTATCAGAGAAAGAAATCGAACAAATTCGAAAGATTTAAGCAGTGATAATAAAAAAATAATTGATACCTATTTGAGATTTCGATAAGAATCGAAAACCCAAAAGGCGAATTGGGAATTGAATAGAGATCGAGTGAGATACGTACCAAACTCGGTCGATACCGGTGTTCTGTTTGGCTACGAACTCTGAATTTCTTTTTTCATTTTTTTTTCCCCTTTTCCCCCTTTTCCTGTATAAGTGTTTGTTGATCAGTTCTTTGTCTGTTTTGTTTCTTTAATCTGCTATTGATGTGAGTAGGGAAATGCCAAACAAGGCTTTAACACATGAATGCTGAATATTCTTGGGACAAGAAATGTCCGCCTTTTTCACGTTTGTAGTGAGTGGCTTGTTAGGGGCGGTTTGTTTAGGTCGTCTTATAGTTATTATAGCTCTTTATCTCATTTCGGCTTTGGATTTTTTTCGGTCCACTACAAAGATGATAATAGGTTGGGCCGACACAATCCGATTCAATTTTATATTTATAATATTTAAATTAAAATTAATATTATTTTTTATTTTTTTATATCTAAACTTAATCCTCTTTATATTATATAAAATTGTATATAATTCAATTTAATTTAAAATTAATGAAATATTTTTTAATATAAAATATAAATATAAAATAATATTTTAAATATAAATATAAAATTAAATAAATAATTAAAAATAAATTTTATATAAATCAAATCGAGTGATAATAAATTTTTTTAAAACTCGATTTTAATTTTTTTGTTATTATTTAATTTAACTTAAAATTTAATTAAAAAAATTTACCCTATAAGATCTGACCAAATTAAATCTCGTCGATAATGGATTAAATTATCATCTTCAATTTACTAGGAATCGAACACTGTCTTATATGTTTTCTCGAGTCATCTTAATCATTAGTTCATGAAGTCGAAGGCTTGGGTTTTTTGTTTTTCTGTTTTTGGCATGATTATGATTCTTTGCTTCACTATTAAAACAGTCTCATCCAAGTTGCTCAAGGAATGCAAAAAAAATTGAACCTAGCAATTTAGAATAATGTAAGTCATGAGAAAGGGTCACCTGAATTTCTTTTAACTAAAAAAAAATTGATAATTTATATATCTATATTTAATTTATTTTGTGTTAAATATATATATAAAATATAAAAATTATTTATTTATAATTCGTGTTGATATATTAATATATTTTTTTATTTTTATCAAATTCATATAATATTTGTTAAAATTTTAAATTAAATTATTTTTATTTTTTTATATCGTTTTTATATTTAAAATTATAATTCTAACACAAAAGTGTTTTAGAAATTTTAAGATGACATTCAGGCAATGTGGACACAAAAGAAAAACAAGAGAAAAGCTATTTTGACAAAAGTTAATATCAAACATGCATATCCCATGTTTTTAACTTAAATTATTCGTATTTGCATGTTATATAAGTTACATTTTAGGACCTTTAGTTTCATGAAACAAGTAATCAAAATTCTGGGTTTGGGTATTGATTTTGTACTAATAGGGAACAAAATGTAGCTCAGTCTAAACACGAGATTTTTTGTTCCCTGCCAAATTACTCATACAGTCCGTCATCTGACATCTGATGCGCTATCTCTACTGATCTACGCTTTCATGCTTTACACACTGGAATTTATGAAATATATGGCAAAACTGTTGAGTGCAATTTCAAATCCCTCCTGCAGTTTATCCATGCCAAATGCATAAGAAGCTTCAAACTTTATTTATATGTAAATTAAAGATGTATTTGGTATATAAAATTATAATAGTATCAAATAAAATGATATTATAAATAAAATTAAATTAAATAATATCATTTTATTTTATATTTGATATGCATAAGAATTAAAATAAAATAATTTATATATTAATTAAAATTATTTTTTTTTAAAGTTTATATAATTTAAATATTAATATAATTTTTTAAGATATAATAAGATATGTAAATTTAAACTTATGAATTAAAAATAATCATTTTCTTTTAGGGACGATTAAATCATTTTATACCAAAAATATAATTAATCTTTTTTATAATCTTATCACTTTCTTTATATACAAATTAAATATAATATAAAATTATTATTATCATATCCTATCTATCATCTTACACACCAAACATAACCTAAATACTTGATTCAATTAGTTTATATAATCACATTTAAGATGCTATATAAATTTGAGACTAAAATCTCAACACCTCCAAAATTTTTTATCTTAGATTGTGGCAAGGCCTATTCAAAGGTCAAGTGAGTTACCCAAATCAAAAGGCTCGCCCAAATTTTTAAAAAAATATATTATATAAAAAATTAAAATTTATTAATCGAATTTAGACATAATTTTTAAATTTATTTAAATTTCGAAATAAACGTTAAACAAAAAAATTAAAACTCAAATCTAACCCAACCTAAATAAAATATATAATTAAAATATTATAATTATAAAGTATATATATGCAAATTTTTGTTTATACATGTTATTTTTTACAAAAAATTTTAATATTTATTATATAAATTAAGTTTATTATGTAAATTTAATATTTATTTTTTAATTTATGTCTGACTTAAAAATTATAAAATTTTAAATATTAAATCAAAACAAATATATAAATTATTAATATCGCACGTGAAATTGACTTAACCCAGCCCATTAACCCCTCTGGGTGTGGCCTTCTTTAATAATAATAAAAAAATACAAAGTTGCGTAAGTTTGAAGTACAATGGAACAGATTTCACCCAAATTACCTTGGGTAGAAGATTTCCTGTTCTTCATATAAATTTAGAACCATACCCTACAGTTGTATAGATTCCAACTTCCAAGGAATTTGTCAAATATCAAATTAAACCGTGAATTATAAATGCAGAAGTATAGAATGGCGATCCTACTATAGTTTGAGAACTCCTTCAGCTGAACTTTCAGAGACTTCTTGGTCAACCTCGGACGGTGACATAACCGGAAGAAGACTAACTGAGGCCTCATCTGTAACCTCTTGATGCGGTTGCAGCACATCCAACTTATCTGAAGGAACCACCAGTTGTTCTATATCAAACTGGGTCCATTTCCTATTCTTCGCATGAACTAAAGCGGGGTACAGGAAGATCCCAATAACAATAACTATACCACTTACAACGAATGTCTTTATAGAAGCTAGGCACATGACAAGAACAAGCAACAAGGAAGGGGGCAAACAAAGCATTGTTACCCCAAATGTTTGCAATGGAACCCTGTAAGGCCTATGCAGATCTGGCTTTTTCATTCTCAATTTTATAAAAGCAGCAAATTCAAGAAGCATTCCTATTGAATATAGGAAATTCAGAAATTCCAAGATCTCCTGAAAACTCATCCAAGACAAGAAAATAACTCCAGTGGCAGAACACAAGATGCTAAATGTTGGTGTCCCATACTTTGACCTACAATATTAATTTTAAAGAATATGGTGTTATGGAACAGCTCATAATCATATTAATACACCACTTCTCTCGAAATGAACAGTGTGCTTGATTATGTGCTGAATGCCAGTGCAAAGATATGAAAAAGGAGTTCAAAATTCAAACCAAACTTCCATGGCAAAGTTAAATTGTAGGCTCTTGTAAAAGATTTTGAGGAAACGTCTAATTTAAATGCTTTCAGTCAATTATGAAGATGAGCAAGAAATTAGATATTTAGTTGCAAAGTTAAGCAAAACAATCAATTTGTGTGTTGACATTGAGGTAATTTGAGAGCCAAGCAACATTGTGTACCTTTCTTCCTTTAAAATCATAGTGGAACAAACCATCAGATTCAGAGGTTAATTTCGATAGATCTGCTTCCATATGGATCTATAAATACTCATAAATCAGCATAATTACGGAAGCAAAATCAGAGAACTAACTTACCTTGAAGCAAAAATGGCTGGAAGCAATCCCATTTCACTCATTCCAAGAAGTTGGTAAGCATCTCCACTCATCTCAGCTTCAAACAACCCCAAGTTGGACATTGCAGCAGCAGCTTGAATCCAGCATTTGAGCCAGAACCCTCCTATCAACATCCCGACTTCCGCAAAATACCCATCGGTCCACTCACCATAAGAAGAATTCAAAGCCCCAGTCCCAGCAAGGAGCGGAATTAAGTATGAAGAAACCACCAAAACCACCGCCCCAAGAAGTGCCTTTGGAAAAGTCTTACTTGGATTTTCAACCTCCCCTGCAAGAGTACTTGCCTTGTCCCAATAATTCAGATTCCAAAACATACTATTAAAGTAACCCCTCCAATCCACCTTCTTCAAATCTACAACAAGCCACTGCGTAGGCTTTATTTGAGGAATTGAAAGAATCCCCATTACAAGAAAGGGGAAAAGTGAGAAAGCAGCAAGGGAAACAGCAGAAAACCCAACAATGTGCAGTCCTCTATAATTCAAATATGTCAGTGAAACCGTGATTCCTAAAAGAGCCGGAATGCGAGCAACTAAATTGTTAAATATTGGAAATGAATGTTTCAAGTAATCAAGAAACAACACAGGATATAAAGCATTGTCCATAACTCCACTAAACCATTTCCAAAATCCTTCTTGAAACCCCCAAAAGGGTCCAAAAGCTGAAGATATCCAAATAACATAACCGCCATTTTCAGGGAAGCTTGTAGCAAGCTCAGCTGTGACTAGAGCTTCCGGGATGCTCCAAATCAAAGGGAATATTAAGAAACCAAGCAAAGACAAAAGAGGGCCACCTCCTGCCCTCACTGAATCCTCTATACCAAAAGGACCCCCAGATACCTCATAGAATATCAAAGCAATAAGTGGCAACACCGTTAGTTTTGGATTTGCTTTAACAAAACTGTTCTTGTCATCACTTACTATTTCCTCCTCACCCATCCACAGACAGGAAAAGAAAGAGAAAAAGAATTAGAGATGAAACTTAAACACAACAGATCGCTTCCCTGAAAATGGAAAAACAAAAATCAGATCTTTTTGGAGTTCGAAGGTGGCTACTTTAATACCCTAGACATCAAAAAGTACATAAAAACATCTGGATTTTGTTTAAGAAAGCTAACCTGTTTTCTGCTTCAAAGGATTACTGAATTTGATCTTGCCTGAACTTCAAAAAGAAAAAATCTTTCAGATCTTCAACAAGAGAACATGTTGTGGGTTTTGGTCCTTGAAGTTGAATCTGCCAAAATTTTTTTCGGAAACTACTATTTGTAGGGGGTTTGGTTCATCCCACACTTTGTTGCAGAGGGTATCGGATACTCAAAATTGAGGTGATTACGATAAAAGAAATACAAAATTCCGTGGACAGATTCTTCTTGTGCAAATATATTTGCTCTTTTCATTATGATATATGTTTTTCACGGGAAAAACAAAAAGTCAAAATTGTTTAGGGAATGTGGGTACAGACGCGGGTTGATGAGCGTGAGATGACTGATGGATACGGTTCCAGCCTCCAGGGACTTGGCAAAGCACCAACTCCATGACTTTTGGTCGTACTAAAATCGGCTTTCCAATCTTGACTTGCCAAATGGCAGCCTTTTAGCAGTTTCGTTGGCCAAAAGTAATGTCATTGGGGTTTTTTTCCCGCAGAGTTATTTAGCGAATTACGCGAACAGCACCTTAATCCAACTTCCTCTTTTTTCCCTTTGTCTGTTGTCAGTCAAGTAAAAATGACTGAAAATCCAAACCCATTCCAAGCTTTGTTCCAAACAGTTGAAAGAGTCTCGAATTGTGTCCAAACCCACCTTGCCAATTTCACCAGACAGGCTCGTCATTCATCAGCCACCAAGAAAGCCCCTTCCATCTCTCTCTCATCATCAAATATAAACGCTGAGTCCCCTCCCACCACTACCCATCCCCTCGTCAAGGTATCTCCGTACTTGCATTCCCCATACATTCATATATCATATGCTTACTAACTTGGTGTATCGGTCTCGAAGCTCGTAAAACTATTCAATTACGTTGCTCGAAGCTTGCTCATTAACTGTTCGACAAAATTTCCATATCAAGCCTATTTTTAGTATGCAAGCTTCTTTTTATGAAGTTGTTTTTCATTTGTGAGACCCAGTTTGTAGTTGTATGAAATTAACATGCTTGGTTGAATTTTTTTTAACAGAAGTCTGCTGCACCGGTGACTAAAGAAGAACTTGGAAGAGCTACTTGGACTTTTCTTCACACTCTTACTGCTCAGGTCTTCTCATTAGTTACCTTAATTTTTGTTTCTTTTTGTTTTTCCTCTTCTTCCTTTCAGTTTTTATGTCTACGTTTTTTGTACTGATTGTTTAGAATGCAGATATTTAACCTCTTTTTTTCCCCAGTATCCTGAAAATCCCACAAGGCAGCAAAAGAAGGATGTAAAAGAGCTGGTATATTCTCTCACCCTTGGTAAATATCTATATTATTAAATCCTAATCACCTTGTTCAAGCTTGTAATTTTCAAGCTCAAATGAAGCTCAAGCTAGATGTGAATTTGATTAAAAATTAAATGAGTTGAGTCCAAAACGTGTCAAAGCTCTGTTCAGCTTAATTACACCCTAAATGCCAACCATATCAGTCTTTGATTGTTTATACTTCTGCTGACATAAAGGGATTGCATAAAATTAAAACTGGATTGTAGAAGTAACTTATTGTCCTTATCAACTATTGGAAGTTTGAGACCAACTAATGACAAGGTGTTTGGCTTGCAGATGTCAATATTATCCCGAATGTACCCCTGCAAGGAATGTGCAGATCACTTTAAAGAAGTTTTGAGGTATCTTTTTTATCTTCTCCTCCTCCCTTCCTGCCAGGTTAAGAATTTTAGCTACCAGTACTTCTGTTGGCATCTCTTTTAGATGGTATGATCAAAAGGACTGCTGAGCAACACCAGAAAGCTATTCTGCTTCTCACCCTATCGAGTTTTGAAATTGAAGTACCACTAGTATTTGCAATAAGAGCTAAAAACAAAAGGAGAAGAAAACAAACATAGTCAAGTCCTGAAGTTATTGGGACTAGTGAGTGAAATATCATGAAATTCAAAGTCAAGACCTCGTTAAATCAAAATTGATAGCTCTTAGATGTTTTAATTAATTTGTTTGTTTGATTATATCAACAGTTATTCATCATTCATTTGGGAGGAAAGAATTGGAAGGGTGTAGGTGATTTTTACTGTTGTCCTGTTTATTCATAATGTTCTACAATCTTGGATTTTTCTCACTTTATTCAATAAAAATATCGGGGGTTCTTCCTATAAATGTAGTTTGCAAAGACTTTCTCTGATATTAGAAATATTAGTCTTTACTGATGGGAATATCTTCATGCATTCTTCTCAGAGCAAACCCTGTACAGGCTGGATCTCATGATGAGTTTTCTCAGTGGCTCTGTCACGTGCACAATGTTGTTAACAGAAGGTAAATTTTATCTTCTTTGTTATGCTGCGCAAAAAATGTATTGCAGCTCATGCTTGCATGTCAACTAGCATACTTGCCTATGCAACAGTGCCCTAGCTATTCTTCTGAATTTGCAGGTGCCCTAAGCTTTGAGCCATATTAGTTTGACCTTTTTTATAGCTTTATTCTAGTTAGTTGACAGTGGTTTTTTCCAACAGCCTTGGTAAACCGGTATATCCATGTGAGCGGGTGGATGCAAGGTGGGGGAAGCTAGATTGCGAGCAGCGCACCTGTGATTTACAAGGAACTACAACGAACCATAGTGGATTCTGAGTAGACATATTAAAAGAGCAGTCATTTGCCTGAACCCTGGAGTATACTGAAATTCAACAATGAATGGCGGTTAATTTTGTAATCTTTATTTGTACATTAACGTAAGTAACCATGTGATATAAAATCTCATTCATTTCACCTGTTGGTTGAAGCTCGTCCAAAGCCTCTTTTAGACCAATACTTTGGTGGATTTGAATTGTGAGGTACAATAGAAGGCAGCATGCAGTTAGAATTTTCCATGCGAGAGATCTATTAACTTTGACGATTATGCAAATAGTTAGAAAAATATACAGCCAAATCTCAAATGTCTACGAATCCTTGCTTGATAGTGGATTGTATACTGCTAAATGAATTCTTACATTCTTTTATAGAGTGAAGAGATTTACTCTTGATTAACCATGATATACAACTCAAATAGTTAGGCATTGGCACCAGGAAGAAGAGAAAGTGAAAGGGCCTTGTGTCATATTGAACTCAAATTAGTGCTACTTTAGTAGTAATTATGTACTGTTACATATGTAAAACTGTAATAAACTTTTCTTTAAACTAAAAAATATCAATTTCAATGAAAATATTTCAATTTGTTATAACATTTACAGTTCAAACAAGTTTTGGAGACTTAATGGAAATATTAATTATGTGAAATTAAAAAATTACATTATTTAGTGTATAAAAAAACAAATTTATTTCAATTTAATAATTCCTTTTTTCTTAGGATTATGTTTGGTGCATAAGATAATAAATCGAATAGTATGATAATCATTTTATATTATGTTTGATTTGTATTTAATTGAAATGGGTTGAATTATAAGGAGAAGTATCATGTTCTTAATATAGGATGATTCAATCCTTCCAAAAAGAAGTTATTTTTAATTCATAAGATTAAATTTATGTCTTATTATATCTTTAAAAATTATATTAATAATTTAAATTATATAAATTTTGTGAAAAAATAATTTGAACTAATAAATAAATTATCTTATTTTAATCATTGTACACATCAAACATAAGATAATATAATATTATTTTATTTTATTTTATTTATAAAATCATCTTATCTTATCATGTCTAATATATATATATATATATTACAGGATACAAAGTTATCAAATAAGATGTGCTAACATTGATGCCTATGTGGATAGCCTTTCTTTATGACACATAAGATAATATTTATATTATATTATTTATCAAATAACTTTATTTAATAAATTATTTAAAATTAATATGTTTGGATAATTATTTAAATTCAAATCAAAATGTATAAAATATTAAAAATTTTACATAAATTTTAAAATCAAATATATTAAATTATAAATTATCTTGTTTTAATTTAATCATAATTCCAAACATATATAGGCTTAATAAACTTTGATTTGCTTTCAATTAATTTTATTTAATAAATTATATAAATTAAATATTTTTGGGTAACTATTTAAATTCAAATAAAACTTTATCAAAACTTGAAAATTTTACATAAATTTTGAATTTAAATATATTAAATCATAATTTATCTTTTCTTTTCAAATTTAATCATCACTTTACATATATATACATATATTTTTTTATGCTTTTATTTTTTTATTCTTTTATTATTTTTTTTTTAGTTTTAAAAATAAGTTTGTGATGCTGTTAAATTGTTTTTTTTTTTTTGTTTTTATTTTTTTTTAGATTTCAATAATGAAAGAAAAATGAGCACACATTTAGATTGGTTTCAACTAGATAATAGGTATAGTTCATTAATTTTTTCCTATTCTATTTCTATTTTTTCCTTTATTTGTTTGTTTCTTCCAACCTCTTATTTAGTTTTATTTATATTATATGATGTATACATTTAGATTTGATTTATTCTAAAAAAAGTTGGTTCATATGTGTGTGTGTGTATATATATATATATATATATATATATATATATATATAGTTAAATTGGATATTTACTATACATAAATATAAGAGATTTAAATTATATATGCGTTTTCAATTTGTATATTTAGTAAAATCAAAATCTATAAAATATTAAAAATTTTACATAAATTTTAAATTTAAATTTATTAAATTATAAATTAACTTTATTTTTTAATTTAATCATAATTCCAAATATGTATAAGCTTAATAAACTTTTATATGCTTTCAAATAATTTTATTTAATAACTTATATAAATTTAATATTTTTGGGTAACTATTTAAATTGAAATCAAACTCTATAAAAAATTATAAATTTTACATAAATTTTGGATTTAAATATGTTAAATCATAATTTATCTTTTCCCTTTTAAATTTAATCATAACTCTACATATATATATATATATATATCTATCTATCTATCTATCTATCTATGTGTGTGTGTGAGTTTAATAAATTTTTATTTGTTGAAATCAAAATCTCAAAATAAAAATAAAGAACTCATAAAGTGGGTGCATTACCTTTTAGTCAATGTTATTTTATTTGTTATTATTAGAATTAGAAATTGAAAATTACAATATTATTTTTTATTTGACAATTATGATATATGAGTTTTGACAGAAATTGACAAAATCTAAGAAGAATAATAACTACATCATACTCATAAATAAGGAAATTCATTTTATGCTTTTATTATTCTTTTATTTTTATTTTTTAGTTTTACAAATAAGTTTGTGATGGTGTTTGATTTTTTTTGTTTTTAGATTTCAATAATGAAAAGAAAATGAGAGCATATTTGGTTGGGTTTCAACTGGTAATAGGTATAGTTCATTACTTTTTTTTTTATATTATATTTCCTTTTTTGTTATTTTCCTCTATTTGTTTGTTTCTTCAAACTTATTATTTGGTTTTATTTGCATTATATGATATATGCATCTAAATTTGATTTATTCTAAAATAAATTGGTTCATATGTTTATATATATATATATATTTAGTTAAATTGGATATTTACCATGCATAAATACAAGAAATCTAAATTATTTATAATTCTTAATTTGTATATTTAGTTTATGTTCTAACAAAAAAAAAAAAACAACTATGTATGTTAAAGTGTATATGTAAAAAAATAAGAACTAATAAAAAGCAAATGGTTATGAGCAAATTAATAATTATATTTTGTAGTTCAATCATATATTATTATTATTATTTGATGTTTTATTTTTGGTTTAGCTTTATAAGATTTAATAATTTAAGAATATTTTGCTAATATAAATGTCGTTTACAATTTAATCAAATAATATATTTTTTATATATTCATATCAACATATAAACAATTATTAATCTTGACTATTTTTTTTAATAAGTCAAAGTAAAATTTTATTAAAAGTAGTAAAATGGTTATAAATATCCAACTACAATTAAGAGTAAAATAAAACACATAAAGAATATAAACCCTAAAAAAATTGTACCAAAATCACGTGAGAAATCTAAAAGTGTAGATCACAACATTTTTAACACTAAAATATATATATATATATATATATAAACCAATAATAAAAGCCTTGATTATTTACAACTAAACTTTGCTTTTTTGATCGAATAAGAAAAAACGAGTAGCGAAATTTTCATTATTTAGTAAATGAATTGAAAAAATAATTTTTTTGAAAAGGAATAAATTTTTATAACTCTTTGAAATTTTACAAAAGTTTTGATTTTGAAAAAATATTACAATATATATATATAAACTCTTAATTAGTTGTACCTTAATAGTTATGAATATATGATTGTATCTAATAAATCAATAAATGTTTATATATTTATTTATTAAAGTAATATAAAAATTTAAGGTTAATATAATTTTTTTAATTATTAAAAATAATTAAAAAAATCCCCTGGATGGCACGGGTTTAAAAATTAGTTATAATCTTATATTTCAAATATGAGGTAAACTTCTTATGCGTGCCTATGGTTGTCTGTGTTTGTTTATTTTACATCTTTAAACGAATTGGGTTTTACAAGAACCTTAAACCAAATTAAATTAAAATTTGACTTTGACCGCATAGCTAGCGTATAGGGAGTCCCTGCAAACCAAGATGTTTAATTATAATAATTAATTTTTCTATAAGTATTCTCCAATCATAATTGCTGGTGATTACGAGAACGTGAGGGGAAGAACGGCTTGTGCTTTCGGCATCGACCTTGTAGTAGCAGCAGCAGCAAAGCATTATCTGTTTTTCTAGTTCCTCCAGAAGATTTTATTGACGCCAACACTTGAACAAAGATGAGACGAGGTATAAAGTTTTCGTCTTTTAACAATTTGTATGAAGTATTATCAAGATTCTTATGCTTGACTGTTTGAGTTTTACAAAGTACAACACAGAAGTTGTCAGGTTCTTTTGGTTTTTTTTTTTACCTAGAAAAAATTTTATTTGTATGTATTTGCTTGATCAGGTATAGCACATTCAGTCAATCCGATGAATAAAAGTTCTATAAAAATCAATGATAATGTCCGGCACCATAAAAAGGAACAAAAACAAAAACTTAATGATAACCTTGAAAGAAAATCTGAATATATGAAGGATTGTTTTTGTTAAGATATGATCAATGTAAGTAATTTGTATGGAAAACTTTAAACTGCAGGTGCTGCTGCAAGTAAAGAAGTTTGTCTTGATGATGATGATGATAGTTGCGATGTGGGTGATTTTCAGGATGTATCCAAGGGTATTCTGAATCGACATCTAGAATCTTTATTTGAGAAAAGGTATTTGGTGTAATAACCATTAATTCTACTTGATTAGACTTCATGTTTCTATTCGAATCTAAATTTTTTTTCCACCCAAATTTCGTTATGTAGTGCTTCTGTAAGAGAGGAATCACTAGCAGCAATTGTTACGGCCTTAAATCACAAGCCACAACATGAGTTCGTGGAGGAGAAGTACATAATTTCTTTAAAATACATCACCCTTTAAATGAAGAAACAAAGATATATATATATATATATAGAAACATATACTTCATCAATCAAATTAAGGTTTTTTAATCTTTTTTTTCTTGCAGTTTTGTTACGTTACTATATCAATGCTTGAATTTCACAAAGAAAGGGTCTGCTCAAGTGCTACTGCTAGCATCAACGGCCGTTGGTTTGTTTGATTTCCAACAATAATTATTCACTTTTCTCATCCAGTTTAGATCATATGCATAGTTTGGTCATGTCACCATATATTTTTGTAGGGTTGATGGCAATGTCAACTCGTTGCGCAGATAATGAACGTCAAGTTTATAAAGATTCAATTCCTGTACTTTCCAAACTTCTCAAAACCAAGTCTAATAACTCACAGGTAGCAACAGATAAGCCTTAAGATTAATAATTCTCTGATTCAGGATATGATTGATGGACTAATTTGTAAATATTTATCTGCAGATACTACATTGTTTGGCCATGGTTGCTTTTTTCACTGCAGATAACTCAGAAGAGATTGAAGAAGCAATGCTATTGATATGGAATTTCATAAATCCTGCATCTCAAGTTCGACTTCTATATATATATAGAATTATATTCTCTTGGACTTTTTCTTGATTCGAAAACAAACTAATGACTAATGATTATTGGAAGTTAAAAGTGCAAATTTATTATCTTCTCAGATTGATTCAAGTAAACATCCACCAGCTGTTCTAGCAACTGCGATATCTGCTTGGTCCTTACTTCTCTCAACCCTTGATGGAAGGAGAATCAGTCATAAGTATTGGCAAAGGTAAGCCTTATAACCAGATTGTATAATTTTATTGTTCTTAGTTTAATTATGATTGTTCTATGTTGGTTATTTTCCCCATATGGTTTGTTGTCTTCCATCCTGTAAATAGTTTTCAAACCCTGCAGTTGTTGGAAAGTACAAAGTTCTTCTGATATACTTAATTGTAAAGTAAAAATTGTGATTTTGCTAATGGATGCAGGGCAATTTCATATTTTTCAGACCAACTAGACAATAAGGATAAAGAAATCTGTGTAGCCGCCGGTGTGGCTTTAGCTCTGATATTTGAAACCAACTGTTTGCACAAGTTCACAACTCATGAAAGTGTTATTTCAGAAAAGCAAGAACAGAAGAACAAAATTATCGACAAACTGAGAAGACAGTCCTATGTTCTATCAGATGTTGTAAATTATTTTGAGGTAAATGGTAAGGAAATGCTATATCAGATGTTCATGAAATATTTTGGATACTGATATTACTGAAATTGTCTGATATCAGGAAGGGGGCCGTCCAAATAAACATGTCACGATTGGTGAACATGAAATCACTTTAACAACATGGTCTCAGATGATACAGGTAATTAAATTAAGTCGCCTTCGGATATGTCAGTAATTCTTATGATGCTAATTGATATTTCCTTCTCTTTTTCTTTCAGCTAAACTGTATGAGGCTTTTTCTAGGAGAAGCTGGGTTTATCAACCACATGATGGTAAGTTTAAACTGCTTTCCTAATCACTCTGCATTTCATATATCATAGTTTTCCATCTTTTGTTCACTGTATTTGTTATATAAACAGGGAAATGAAAACTTCCATGATCTTTTTGAGCTTATCCCGAAAGAAAAGCATCCTCCAGCCGATATGTCATACATACCAGAAAGAGAAGAGGTTAATTGGTTTATGAACTGAAATTCTATTATGTCCTGTATCAAATTGTGCACCATAAGGATACATTATGTCCAACCTTGTAGGTCAGTGTTCGCGTTTTCTTGCCTGGGGTTCTAAGATCGAAACCAATAAGCACAGCGAGACCACAGCTTCTTCCCACGGTAGGACGGATTTTTCTTTGCCTTTTTAGTTCATGAATGAAGTAAAGCTGTTGACTGAGATAATTCTTAATACTTTCGTTTCAGAAAATGACCAAGTCTTGCTTGAGTAAGGGAAGGACCAAGTTGCTGAACAAGCAACGAGAATCTTCGAAGGTTGTCTCTTCTTAATCTATGTTTATTTTTTTTAATTTTTAATTTATTCCTAAATGACTGAAAATAACATCCTTTGGAACCTGCAACTTCTTAGTATTAGTTCCAATAACATGCCAACTTATGCAAATAGGTCGCCTTTCTTAAATATTGTTTGAAAATGATACCTACGGCCCCTTGTCAAATGAGAACATGCGTCTTAGCACTCTTTTTGTACTTCAACAACCAAACCATAAATTTTAAGAACACCGGCAGCCTCAAACCCAGATTCGAACAGTACTCTACGGCTAGAGATCATCATCTCTGGTGTCGGAGATCCAAAATCTCTTTAACCAAGCTCAGATTTAACCCAAAACCCTAAATAGTCTACTTATTGCTTGTTGCAATTTCAAGTTACGAAACTAATGACGATTAGTCTGTTATAACTCAAATGATTAAGACTATTTTTTTTCCTCTTTGCATCTTGATTGATGAAAACATAAGTCTAATCACTTTTCTAACTTATTCTGCTCTTTGAAGAATCGTTTTAGTTTTCTAATAGCTGTCCGCGCCTACTTTACATGCAGGGGGGAAATGTTAGCTATGTTGATGATGATTGAAGAGATGAAGCCTGAAAAAGAATAGTTGAAGTGGAACTGACCACCGCTCTGAGCAAAAACTTCATTTTTTTAATTCTTTTTGAAACGGATACTACATTTATTATTGATATATTTTCTTAATAGATTTTATTGTTTTAGTTTATAAATAAAATAATTGGTTTTTAGAGAAGTAAAAGACATTTGATGAAGGCAGTATGAACGAAAATAAGCCATTCTAGCTCTATAATCAGTATGCATAGAACAGAAGACAGCATCAATTGCTTGCTTAGGCAGTAAATTAAACCGCCACAAGTTCAAGATAGATTTGTATACTGACCAAACCTATACTGAAATCCAACTAGTTTTGAATTAAACTTTGAATTAATGAAAATCGGAACCATTTCGTTAAACCTCAAACCAAGTACCAACCTTTTTCTGCCCTTCTCCACAGCCATAAATACAAGACAAGCAGTGGTCTGAACCCATAATGCAACCATCTGATTCAACTGCCTGATGGCATATCCTTGGCCTGTTTATCTTCCATCTGAGGGGATTCAACCATCAAATAAGGAGGGGCTTCTCCGAATTTCAGTATGTAAGCAGTCTCATGAACAGTTCGCAGTTGCTGAATCACTAGAGCATCCAGATAAGAATCGCAAGCGAAACACCAAACTGACAGGTCACTGGTTTCACACAACCAAATAAAAAGTTACCCACAAAACTTTCCAAAACGCCATGTCTCTCAAGGATGAAAGATAGCAAAAAAGGAAAAGCGATATTGGATACATACCTGTAGCTGAGTGCTATGGAATGGGTTGTTTGCTTATAATGCTCAAGCATATGTTTATTCACAAAACGACTACACAGCACATCCTTACAGCATAAGCATAACCAATTCTCACTTGGGTTCTGGCACCTAAAAATCTCCATTAAAGTCAGAAAATATATGTGACCAAAACCAAATTTCTAAATCCAACATTTTGATGAAAAAATAGAACAGTATATCAGAATAATCAATCAAACATGGAAAAAACCTTAGTTTGACCAAAAAGTTGGATTTTTTAAGAGACATGAAATAAAAGAAGTTGAATAAGAAATATAGAGTTAAGAGGAAAAAGGGAAAACCAGTTGCAGGGAGTGTTAGGGGTTGGAATATGAGCTAGATCAGACGACAAAGAAGCCAAATGATCACACTGCGTTCTAGCTTCCACCCATCCTGATTCAGCCCCGTATATTAAGTCATAATAATCATCCTCTTCTTTTTCTTCAAGAGTGATTTTCTAAAAGTATCAAGAACCTTTAAAATTGAAGGCAACTACTGGGAAAAAAATACTCAAAAATTAAATAGAAAGAATGGTTATAAGTTACGAAAGTAGGGTCGGCGGGTATTTTCAAATAGAGAAGAAATTAGAGATTAATTAGGGGTAAAGTTGGTGATTACCAGGTGAGAAGACGAAGAGCCCGCTTGGTCCGCCATTGAAACAGCCTAACGATTCAAGTTTCTGCCCCCAGTTTTGCCTAAGAGTTAGAGCCCTCTTCTTTTTAGAGATGGTAAAGTGGTAAACCGTACACGCAGCATTTCAAAGTGATAAATTGATTGTAAATCCGGAAGCAGTATTTTTTTTTTTTTTAATGGCTAAAATACTGAAATAACGCTTGAACTCTTCACCACTTAAATAAATCTTTACACTTTTTATTACACTCAAATAAATTTTTATTTTTTAAGTTATATCTAAATAAATATTTATTTTAAACAAAAAAATTTCTTTATGTTTAAAGTTTATTTAAGTAAAAACTATAAATTATTTAAATGCAAATTAAAAATTAAAAATTTATTTAAATATAAAATAAAAGTAAAATTTTATTTGAATATAAAAAATATATAATATTTATTTAATTAAAGTAATAAAATTCCAAATTTTTAATATTTTAGATTTTTTTTTAACGACAAAGGATTCTTGAATAAAGTGCATTATATATATTTTTCAAATCGATTCAAGCAAGTTAATTTACATTTAGTCTATTAAATTTATTAAAAATTATTTTCTTACCATCTTCAAATAAATTTTAAACTCAAATAATAAAAAAATACTCACTTTACTACTCGAACCAATCCAAATAATTTAATTTTAAAAGATCATCATTAGTAAGGGTGAGCAAAAGTCGGTTTGAACCGATTAGATCGATCGAAATCGAATGAATTCGATTGAATTGATTCGGTTTATTCGGTTTTAGTTATAATCGATTTTTAAAATCTGTTAAATTGATTAATTCGATCGGGTTTTTATTTTTAAAATTGATAATCGCATTAACCGAATTAATCGACTTTTTAATAATTAAAAATAAAAAAAATTGAGATAAATATTTTTTTTTTTGTAAAATATTGTTGAAATTATTAAATTCTTTAGTAATTTAGTTTGAATTATACTAAAGTTTGAATTTTATTGAATTAATTTGCGATTAAATAATTATTAATAATATGAAGAAAAATGATAAAAAAAATCAATTATTTAACCGAACCGATCGAACCGAACCAATTTTGGTTTGTTCGGTTATGGTCGATTATTTAATAATATTCGGTCGATTCGGTTATTTGTTAAATGAAAGTCGGTTAAGTCAATTATTGATTTTTTCAAACCGAATTGACCGAACCGACCATTTACTCATCCCTAATCATTAGATTTATTCTGTTGTTTTTCACCAACTATACTTACGTGAATTAATATGTTTAATAATATATGCATCATTAAGTATTTAAATATAAGTAATAAATGTGTTTCAAAATTTTTGATATATGAATCAATTTAAATTAACAAGCTTTAGAATAATAAATTTTACTTATTTAAAAAAATTTTAAATTCATTTTGTTTGTAGGCTTATAATTAATAATATGTGTCAAATTTTAATACGTCACAGGACAATAACCGTGTTGCACTTCGAGATCTATATAATCTTTATGTAAATTTCAAGATTCATATAATTTTATGTAAAATTTTTAAATAAGACATTAAGTCAAGATTTATATATTTGTAAGTCTGATACAATATAACAGGAATGAAGCAACAAAAGTATCAAAACTAATTGCATAGAAGTACTTAACCTGCAAAGCAAAACATACATATCTCAATAATTCATATTACAATCCAAACTTGTATCTTTAAGATAATATTTATTACCATTTATTCAAGTTCATAACGACCAAGTTAAAATTAAAATTTTATTAAAGATCTAATAACTAAACATATACATTAATTTTGACTCATAAATACACAAAATTATGAATTGATCTCAAATTCATAAATACCCAAAACTTCTTATAAAACAATTATATAACAATAGCTTATAAAACCAAACAAAAATTAATAACCCAATGTGGAAATCACCTGGATTTGGTTCTAGTTACTAATGGTGTAATAACTTGATGAACAACAGTTGCCAACCAAGCATTGATAAAATACATCTTTAGCAAATACATGAAAATGTTTACAACCATTAGACACCACTATAGCACAAAGGAAAAATACTTTGGAAATCTTTTTTAAAAAATCCTCTAATGCATAAGCAAGACATGCACGTTCCTTGCTGTGACCCACCAAACTAATTAATCTACATATAATTCATAAATCGAAATAAATTAAAATATGATAAGACTTTTTTTATCAATAAAACCTCAAGCATGATATCAATATACCTTACCTTTTTTTACTTAAAGATCACTTAAGCACTAAGCTAATACTATGAGAAAATAATACCGTATAACAAATCTCTAACAATAATCAAAAGCATAATTTAAAATCATGATAGTAAAATTACATATTCTTGACTAACCTATACTCATGAATTCTAGAAATCATTCATAGTAGCAGCTAATGTTGGTCATATTCTGCTAATACCTGTAAGTCCAGCAACAAATTAAAATTCATAAAAATAAGATACATGTTCCAAACTTTTCACTTTGACAATCAAACATAAGGAAAAAACTATGTAATCCCCCCCTTTTTTTTTGTTTCTTTCAAGCACAAACCAGTAAATCATGTCTAAATATATTAGAATCAACATATACAAAATAATATTTAAATAGTGAATTGATGATTTCGAATATTCTGCCAATGTGGTGACAGCATTTGTATTTGTTAAATTAATAACATAGCACTTAAGATCTAATGCAATAGGCAAAAATCCTACTTCCTCTAACTAAGAAGCAGTTATATACTAACACTAAGCTCAAAATCCTTTTTCTACTTAAATATTTGGGCTTTTTGAAACTCTAACACTGAATATTCCTTTCTAACTCAGTTAAATTGTTAATCTTTTTTTTTAACATATTTTGAAATTTCTTACTACAAACTATTAGATACGCACCGATGGGACTAAGCTTAAAGATTTCATTATGTTCAAACCAAAAAAATAAAAACTAAACTTAATAACTTTTTTTGTTTCATTTTAAACGACTAAGCTTTTAAAGCTACCTTTCAAATTCACTTAAAAGACTTCACCATGTTCACACCTAAAAAACAAAAACTAAACTTAAAAAAAAATCTTCCTTTAAAAATCCATATTACCCAAATTTAAACATTAGCCACCGTCGCTACCACCATTCTTTGTTGTTGACCGTCAATCATCAACTATTGATCGTTGGCTTCAAAAATTACCTAGACTCTATCCATTAATCCTATTGGCCTCTTTTACACCATTGTCAACTTAATTTTTCCAAAAACTTTTTTGGTCTGTCCTAAATCTAAAAGTAAAACCTATAGCTTATTACCCTTATTTTCATTATTTTTTGCCATCTCAATGCCCTGAGCTTTTACTATTTTAATCCTCTATTCATGGCTTTCATTTTTACGATTTTGCTTTTCTTAGAAGCTTATTGACATCTGTTAGTGACTGTACACCCACACAACCTTCGTCGTTTATGGTGGCTTCTTTGTTTTCCTCTTTCCTTTCTTTCAAATGCTCTAAATATATAACCTTCCTAAATACCCAAATGTAAGAACATCATAACCAAAACCCCATTTTTTAATTATTTTCAAATTTCTTTGGTGCTTGGCTGTCGCTATTGTGTTTGTTAGTGTTGTAAGGTTGTTTTTAGATGGCTATGTGTATGTGAGTTGGATTTTTGTTTTGGATTGAAATTCCTAGGTTTTTTTTATCATTTGGTAATAGGGATTTCAACTGTTTTGTGTTATTGCCTTTAATTTTTTTTCTTCAGATCTAGTTTTTTTAAGATCTTATTTGCAAATCTAATTTTATTTTTTTTATTTTTTGTATGTTTTAGATTTTTATTTATATATTTTTTTATTTTGATTAGATTATAAAATAATAATTTTATAATTTTGGAGGGTAAAATAATAATTACACAAAATTAGACATGTGTCAAGTAACTATTCCATAAGAGATAGTTGTAATATAAATTACAACATATATAGAAACCTAATAATATTTGCTTACGTGAACGTTTAGATAGATGACTTCTCTTTTTGATATGTAAAAAAATTCTTAAAATTGATATGTAAGAAAATCTTTAAAATTTTTTTTTATAATGACACGTAAGATATTTTTTAATTTTAAGTTATTTATCAAAAAATATATATTTAAAAATTATTTGATTATTCAAAATTTTCAAATCTAAGTGAAAGACTAATTAAATTATTTTTAAGTTGCTAGAAAAAAAATCTAATTTAAATATATATTTTTTAAAAATACATTTTCAAATAATCTAAATATATATCTTTTTCAATTTAAAATTTTCAAATATAATGATATATTATCTTTTAAAAAAGGTTTTCTAATAATATAAAATATATATCTTTTAAATCTAAAAATATTCAATGTGGTGATATTATAAAATGAATTTTTTAATAATTTAAATATATGTCTTTTTAAATTTGAAATTTTAACATATATAAATTTTATTTTTAGAGATTTTATAGTAATCCTTTATTTTTTATTTTTAAATTTAAAAAAATCAAATATCACATATATTAAAAAATAATTTATTCTTTAACAATACTTTAATGTTAATTCTATTTATCTATTTTTTAACTTTTTATGCTTGCAAAGAAATGGTTTTTTAACTTGTGAGATGCATAACATTTTTTATTTTATTTTTATAACTTTTTAATATATGAGATGCATAATTTTTTATAATATGTGCATTAACATGTTACAAAGTTAAAATCAATCTTCTTTTTTTATTTTAAATTTTATGAAAACTTTGAATATTCTATTTGTTTCAGAGTGTATGCATGGATTTTATAAAAATTTCTTTTATAATTCATGGATGTTTGAATGGAGGAAGAAGATTGGTCCAGTACAATAATGACTATTTTGAAGTATTTTGGCAATTGAAGATAAAAATATTAATTTAATTGTTTAGACATTGTTTGTTGGTTTTATTTATTTATTTATTTAAAAAAAGACAGTATAAACTTACTTTTTATTGTTGATTTTATTGCATTTTTCTTTTTTTTTTAATTTATAAATAAAAGCAAATGACTAAAATACAATACTAATGCTAACATAATTGTCTTATATAAAAGTACAATCATATTTATTTATTGAAAATTAACTTTTTTATAATTTAATTCTTTTATAGAATTATTGGTTTTTTTTTTTGGGAAGTGAAAAATAAATTGTAAAAATAAAAGCAAATTCATTACCTTTGAAATTGATTATAAAATTTGTGAATGAGAATTTAAATCTTGTCATTAAAACCTTTTTATAACAAAATTTTAAAATAATTATTTAAATTTAATACTATTACTTAAAATCTAAAACTATTTCATTTCAACTTTTATAATAATATAATTTTGCATCAAATGTAAATTTTAAAAGAAATATAAAATTAATTTGACAAATTTTATAAATGTTGCAGATCAATATATAACTAATACTCATGCAAACAATATGCATGCGAGTAAACTATCATGTATATTATTTAAAAAATTTAAATTATTATTTTTTAAAATAAATAAAATTTATCTTAAAATTATATAAATTTACAGATGTATAAAAATAATTGTACAAAATGAAAATGGCAGAAAGTGAAAGAAATTAATTTGAGTAATGAAACTTTTAGTTTTAAATTTACTATTTTATTGATATAGTCAATAATACTATTTATATATAAATATTAAGATATTTTAGTTTTCTTCAAATATTATTATATGTTTTGAAATTTTAATTTTTAATTAAAAATTTTAATTTATTTTTCTTCAAATATTATTATATTTTTTGAATTTTTAATCTTTTAATTAAAAATTTTAATTTTTGATATATTAATTATATTATTTATGATTTACATATATATTAAAATTTTAAATAATTAAATAATATTAATTTATATATTTAAAATATTTAAATAAATAAAAATAATCTATGCATAGAAGATAACAAGCTAATTTTAATATACGGTATGTATAGATATAGATTTTTGGTAAAGACGTTTTTGTTTTAAATTTAAAAACAATAATTGGGTCGGGTCATATTTATTGGGCCTAAATCGGTGTTTCAGGACCCACGGGAAAGTTAGTCGGATCCCTGCCTGGAAACTAGGGTTTTGGAATCCGCCTATAAATACTCTCATTTCCCCAATTAACCAACTCCTCCGCGAAATCTAGGTTTTCCATTAGCTGTCGAGCCTCCTTGCGTCGTTCAGAGCTTTGATCGAGGAGCAGCTAATCACTCATGGGTCACTCTAACGTCTGGAACTCTCACCCCAAAACCTACGGCCCTGGCTCTCGCGCCTGGTAGCTACTCTTCTCTCCCTCTCTCGACTCTTTTCGATTGCTTAGAAATTTCAAAGAAAATATTAATGCTATTATTAAAGCTTTAATACTTTATTTAGTTTCTTGCAAGAATTTATCTTTTTAGCATATAAATATGTTAAAAGGAATTAATGAAATTTTAGTTTGTTGATTTTTTAGTGTCTGATACGACGATTTAGCATGTTATTCTTTGTATTTAAAGGTTTTAGGGTGTGTTTAGTGCACAAGATTATAATAGGATAGGGTAAGATGATACTATGAATAGAATTAGATTAAATAATTTCATCATATTTTATGTTTGGTGTGTGCAAGAATTATGATAGGATAATTTGTTTATTAGTTAAAATTATCCTTCTTCAAAGTTTATACAATTTAAATTATTGATGTAATTTTTAAGGATATAATAGGACATTTATTTTCAATCTCATGGATTAAAAATAATTTTTTCTACTTTTGGAGAATTGAATCATCTTATACTGAGGGGATATTAATCCTCTTGGTAATCCTATCCACTTCTTTAGACACAAATCAAACATAATATAAGATGATTATCATTATATTTTATTCATTATCCTATGCATCAAACATGGCTTTAATGACTTGGAATTTACTTAGATTTAGAAATATTCTGGCGTGGTTTTTGTAAAATCTGGTCTTCTCCTGGACTATTTGGTGCTTCATGTTACAAGGTCTTAGAATTTTGTTTTTTGTTTTGATAGCCGTGTGTGTGGAAACCCCCACGCCATCATCAGGAAGTATGGACTCATGTGCTGCAGACAGTGCTTCCGTAGCAATGCCAAGGAAATCGGGTTCATCAAGGTAAAACTAACACCTCTTCAATTACTCTTCTGATGATTACTGTTATCTTAATCTTTATGATTTTGCATATGAATAGTTTTTTAACCTCTGGTTGTTTCTTGTCTTCACCTTGCAGTACCGCTGAAGATTTTATATAGGTGAAGTAGGAACGACCTTGTCCAAGTATGTGCCATTGGTCTTGTGGTTTTTGAATTTGAAGGAACTTTTAATATCTTGTTTCGTTTTTTTGGTTAATTTAGTATGGACCTTAGATTGATTTTTCAACTAAGAATACTTTGTTGTTTCTCAATTAAGTAATCGTACTATTTTATACATTAATTATCTATTGTTAGTTTGCTATTAATTGTCTTTGCAATTTAATGATTCTGTTGAAATATTGCCCTTTCATGTGTTTTATGAATGGCATTTCAAGTTAACCAAACGTGGAGTGTTTTAGTCTTATCACCTCACATTTGATCTTGTTATTATTGTGCTAGGTTTTGGTTATTGTGGTCCATGGAATGGTTGTATAGCAATTTAATTCATCAAAATTTGTCTTCGGGCTTTTTATATATGGAAACTGTAGTATCTTGTGTAAGATAATGTGTTCAATGTTGAGCATGAATCATGGATGTTTTAATCATCATCTCTCATAATTTGGAAGGTCTCTCTTGTAATAAGGCCTTTTCTATATTCATTTTCACAGTTCAAGCTTGAAGATTGGACTTTGGCTTTTCAATATGTTTTTTTTAATAAGAAAATGGTTATTTGTTTTCTTTTCTGGGTTTGTAACAAAGGGATAAAATGCCAATTTTGATTTAGACGTTTATTCTAATACGTCTGTATTTCTATGTTTACACTTGTTGGTCAGTTGGTCTTCATCCCCAGTTAGGATGAGTTTGGCTGGGAAATGTCAACCCATACTCTTTAATACTGGTTTTAAAAATGTTGGAGAATATGCAATGGTAACCAGGTTGTTCGCTGTCTTAATCCAATTCCGAATGATGGAAATGGCTGGCAGAAGTGAAGCAAGCTAAACCTGAAAGTCTCCTTGTACAAGAGCTTAGCTATCAATTTTACCACATAAGATGCAGCTAAATGAAGGATATGCAATGAGAGATGAGCTTAAGTTTTCGTAGTTAGATTGGCAGTTGCGAGTGTTGAAAGTGAGTGCATGCATCAAAAAGCTTCTCATTTTATTTGAGCTAATTTTAAAATTTAATCAAAATCAAGATATAAAATATAAAATTAGTAGAATCTCATTTTCTTATTATGAGGATGGATATGGTCCTCCAAAGGTGAAGGCGATGAAATCTTGGTTCAAATTCAACATATTTATGTTCTCTTAAAAGTTCTTCAGTGATTACATCAAAAGCTTTTTAAACAATTTTAAAAGTTATAATTTTCTAAAAAGTACCTTTATTGTTACATCAAATCTTCATTATTCCTAATCCATTGCCTTATTTGAAATTTTTATCTTTACATCAGTTACAAGAATGGGCTATTATCCTTATCAATGGCTTGGAATTCATCTGGACTCTGCATTTCAATTCTTATTCTTATTGTGTAATGTTGATCTTTCTGGTTAAATTATTTTTGTTGCTAGATACATGTCCATTAAATTCCTGCACTGATTTAGACCAAAGCTTTATTTTTAATGTTGATAGTCAAACCAGAATTCTGGGGCATGGGGCAAAAAACTCTACTACAACTCTGGTGCTGATATCGATTTGGGAGAAGTTCTACTTTCATTTCAAACGCACATGTTGGGGATGGCATTTTAAACTTGTTTGAGAACTTTTGTTTTGAGTAGTGTTGTTTGCGGTGTTGTCCCTCGATGTGGTCCATTTTGTAGGTTAGAATACGGACGACAAGCACATGCTGATACTTGTAGGTAGCCCAATCACAATTCTCAGCTGAAACGGGAAGTAATATATGACTTCTTAAAAGCCTTTTAAACAATGTTGTTATTCCTTTTGAAGCCTCGCTAGATCCTAAGAAAAAGCAACCAAATTATGTCAAAAATAGATCGAAATATGCTTTTTGCGTATGATGGATCAACAATTAAAATAATCACAGTTTTTGCTAGAAGAAAAGAATGAGAGAAGAAGAGAGGAAGGAGGATGTGGGTTTTATTTAGCACATAGTCGTTTTTTAAGAGATGTCATTTAGCAGATTTAAGATTCGAATATCAAAGTTACAACTTCTTTTCTATTATCATGCCGCGACTTTTTGTATAAAAATAAAATGTGAGGTGGAAGTGGAAAGGAGAAGCAATGTTGGGAAGCTATGGATTTAGACAAAATCATTCTCTTTATGCTTATAATAATCACTTGGAAAGTAGGCTAACGAATATCCCAATTAAACAAACATCACTTAGTGGGTGTCTTCCTTCTAAACCAATTATTCTATGGTGTGTGTCTTAAGTCACATGGCTGCAAAATTTCAACAAGCATCATTTTATAATTCATGGTATAGCCATAGCTTAACAACAGGGTTCTTTCCATTAATTATGTCTTTATAATGATAAAACAACATTTTGCTGATGAAAATTGCAGGGTGAGTCAGCTGGTATGTGGGTTCTTAACAACTTCTTAAATCTTAATTGTCGGTTGATTAGTTTAATCATGAATCTAGTCTACAGCCATATATAATACTACTACCTCACCTATGCCTTGTTTGTCCTTTTCCTCTAGTTGCACCCTCCCTTTCTTGTTCTTCAAAACCCTAATCTGGTGTAAAAAGTGCATAAATTAAACAACCAAAAGCTAGCTTCAGTGCTGTAATTTTCAGATTTGGTGTGTTCTTCTTCCTCTAACTACTAATGCGATGGTTTTCACTTTTCAAAGTGAATGTTTTTCTCTAACTACTAGTGCTTTTGGAGTTTATTCTATATATACTGTCATCATTCGAAAATAAGTCTGCCATCTAAACTAAAAATGTAGCTAAACAAAATGAAAAGAATAACATACATATATATATATATATATATATATCTGAATGACTAACTTCAATAAGGGATTACTATGAAAAACACCTGGTTGCTGGAAATGCAAACAATTCATGGGAAATTCAATATTTTGTACTTTTGACCTAGGAAAAGAAATTCTCTATTTTTATCTTAACTGAAATAGTTCATATAGTAATCAAAACCCTTGTAATTTATCACAATAATCGTGTGGTCTGATGTTAACAATTGTATTGTTTGCTAATAAAATATTAAATTCTTAATTTTAATCTTGATCAACCTCAAGTATTAAAAAAAAATGTAGTTGATATAGTAATTCACAAAACTTTATTTAATCTGCAGAATTTAAGGGAAAAAACAAATAAAAAGTTATATGAAGGAAAAAAAAAAAACACAAGAGCCCATTGATGTAAGCCTTGCAACCAAATGCAACACCTAAGGAGAAAAAATATATGATCGAAACAACATTTTGTTTTTAGACATGAATCATGACACACTTTTTTATAAAAAAAAAAAAAAAAGGAAGACTTTCCAATAGGGTATGATTAGAATATACAACGATCAGATATACGACCCACCACCTCTCCAATCACTTCTTATAGTTGACTAATATCATTATTTTCTCTTTCTTACCAAGGTTTTTACATGTACGAACTGGTCAATTGAAATTTGGCTTTCAAGAGATCTCTATACCTTTTTTTTTTTCTAGATTAATTTTCCTATATGAACAAAATTGATAAGAATGCAATGCTAGCTGGTGAATTGGCAAGGCTTTGGGACAAAATGGAAGAGTTAATATAATAGAAACTTTCAAGAACTGAGATGAAAAAAAAAAGAAAAAAATGCGTTGAAAGCAAGGGATGCAGAGATTGAGAGAGATGAAAAGAGACACTGCATCTTATATTAAACTAATAATTAACAAATGGGTTTTTAGCTTTGCTTGCAATTATCACGGTGCATTCTTTTTATTCTCTTTTATTAATAAATTTTTATTATTAATTTGAAGTTTGTTGCATTTTCATATGATACCATCAACCTCTCTGCTGCTTTGAAGCTCTTTTCATGGGGGTTAGCTCATTCATGTCTCTCCTCAGTCCTCTGCCTAAGGTACTCTCTCTTACAAATGTTAATACTTAATTCCAATTTTAAACTTAATCAAATTATAATATTAAGGCAAAGATTGTATGCGTATTATTTTAGCAGACGTTGCTATTTGTCTTAGGTGTTAAGTTATAGAAATTTAATTATTATTCTGACGTTGATTATCTTTATATTGAATAAATACGTATATTATCTTTTTATATATTAATAATATTAAATAAAAATATTTTAAAATTTTACATATATAAAAAACCCATCAATTTGAGGTTTATTATCTTACAATGATTGTATGAGTATTAGATATTTAGATTACGTTAACATTAATTTTCTGTATTAAAATATTAAATTAAAAATTTATTTTTTAAATATTAAATTGATAAAAAATTTGTAATACAGAAATATTTTTATATTTAAACTTTTTCATTTTTTGTCGGTGGATGTTGCTATGTCTTACCCAACAATCTGGAAGTCAATATAGCCTCTAATCAGATCCTTGTAAAACATAAATGGCAAAGCTAGCTCAATGTCTTTCCTAATGATTAGTTGGGTTTACGAAAGTCGACAAAAGTGATATATAGATGTAAAGATTGTGATTAGTGACGGGTCGTAATCAAAGCCATAAAGTTTTTATTAAATGATTGAAAAACTTTACCGATATTCCTTTTTTTTTTTATCTATATATTTTTACATTTTTCATAATCTTTTTTTTTAATGGTTGGTTAAGGTTATTTTTTTTTATAAAAAATTTTTGAATTTAAATTTTATCCGTGATTATTTATTGAGATCATTTCGAATATATAATTTATAATCATTTATTTTAAAATTTAAAATATAACACATTTTATTTTAATTTAAAAAATTAAATAACTTATTTATTTTAAATTTTTTTTTGCCAAAACAAATAATTCTCGTATTTTCACATTGGTTATAGAGATACTGATGTACAATCTGATGTACGCTTCTAATTGCTATGGGAATTAAAAAGCATTCAATTTATGTACTAAAATAATAAAAAAAAAATCTCATACTTTCCATGTGAAATTCAATTTTGTACTTTGTACTTAAAGTCATAACATAGTAGTAGTATAGCAAGTTTTTTTCACTAGCATAAAAAAAAAAAGTGTGTTAATTTGCAACATTAAACCAGAAATATGAAATATACATAAATAAATTATTCATCAATATAAAGAAAAAAAAATTATGTGTGTTTTTTTATCCGAATATTTGTGTATAAATTTGGTAAGTCTTTCATAACGAAATCTTAATTTAGTAATAAAAAAAAAGTTTTAAAATTTTAAAATTTAAATTTAAATTTTATTTTGCGTAAATTTGATTAAATTAAAATTTATTAATTGATTATATCATTATATGAATGTAATACTTAATTATAAATATAATTTTAAAAAATAATATTTCTTCCAGTGTCATGCGCTAGATCTACCATACCAAATACAATTTATTAATTGATTATATTATTATATGAATGTAATACTTAATTATAAATATAACTTAAAAAAAAATGATATTGCTTCTTATGTACTGAGCTAGATCTACCATACTAAATATAATTTAATTTTCAAAGAATAAAAGGTAGTTTCAACCGTTTTAAGAATGAGAGTGGGGGAGGGACAGTTAACCTAAAATAGTTATGAAATTTTTTTTTTGAGGAAGGAACAGGGAAAATTAAGTAAAGAAAAAAGACCTAGCCTTGGTAATTGTTATTAATGAATTGATACCATATAAAGGTCACAGCTCTGGATTAAAAAAAAAAAAAAACAAATTTGGAATTAAGGAAGCTTAATCAGTAGTTAATTAAGCAGAAAGCAAGTTTATAAATTTATTTTAGTTGAGCTGTAAAAGGTTTTTAAATTTAATTTAATTTAATACATTTTTTAGTCGTTTTCACGTTTACTTAAAATTCGATCTAACCCATTTATAAAAAAATTATTTTTTTTTTGATAATTTAAAATAAATTCAAATTAAGACAACGAAAAATGCACACTCGATTTTATACCTTAAGGTTTAACTTGTAATTTCTCAATGAGTATGTTAATAATTTATGAAAAATTATTAAATATATTGATAATGCAATTTTTTAATTTAATAAAATTAATAAAGTGACAGATTTTTTTGTATAATTTTTAGAAAATAAAAAAAATAATTTTAAAAATAAAATATATTATTTTATTAATTTTGCTTATAAAATTTAAAAAATTTCTCTGTCAAATAATTTCTCATTATTTATATCATAATGTTATTTAATGTTTCACTTATAAAGATTAAAGTCTATAGAAATTGGTAATTAATTCATTAAGACTCAAAAAATGAATAATTAATTAGCCTAATATTTTTCCAAAAATTCACAAAACCCAAACCCAAAAGCCCACGCTGAATGAATCTCTTTCGTTTCCTCTCTTCTTCCAAATCTCAGCTCGCCTACTCTTTTCTCTCTCTCTCTCTCTCTCTAAAAGCCCAGAAAAGCTGTGTGGGTTTCACTGCTGTTGAAGTAAAATGCAGAATCCTTCAGGAACCCTTTATGGGGTCTTCTCCATTCTCCTCAAAATCACATAAAATCTTGTTTCTTTCCAGGTTCTTAGCCATGGAAAAGAATACGCTTTACTGTATATACTGAAATTTCTTTTAAGGCAATGTAGAAGAGAAAGTAGATTCCTTTGCAGTCTCTGAGGATGGTGGCTGCATTTTCTCATTCACCAACTCCTTCGCAGCCCCCTGTTGGAATACCACAACAAGGAACAGCTACCCATCAAGAAGAAAACCCAACAATAACAACAGAAAGGCCTCCTCTTAAAGACAATGGCTTCACTGTTCCAAGAAAACCCAGAGGCAGACAAGTTTCTTCCAGGTATTTGTCACCCTCTCCCTCTCCTTCCACTTCTTCTTCTTCCTCTTCTTCTTCAGCAGCAACAACAACGGCAGCCAAAACAACGACTAGATTTCCTTCACCTCTTATCTCTCGTTCCACTAATACTACAGCAAAGGGGAACAAAACGACAAATAGATTTCTTTCTCCGTTTATTTCTCGTTCAACAAATGCTATTTCTACTTCCACACCGGCTTCGACGATGCTGTCTTCGCTTCCTAAACGGTCTCAATCTGTGGACCGGAGGCGGCCCGGGGGTCAAGTATCACAAGGAAACAATGTTAATGACACCGAATTGTCAGCTGCTACCAAGATGTTGATTACTTCAACGAGAAGTTTATCCGTTTCGTTTCAAGGTGAGGCCTTTTCACTACCGATTAGTAAGACAAAGGCTCAAGTGGGTTCTACTTTGACTAGGAAACCAACTCCTGAAAGGCATAGAGCTACTCCTGTGAGAGATCATGGAGAGAACTCGAAGCCGGTGGATCAGCACCGCTGGCCTGGGAGAACCCGGCAAGAGAATTCTGGTTCAAATCCGTTGTCTAGGAGTTTGGATTGTAGTGGTGAAAGGAAGATGTTTGGATCTGGTGCAATGCTGGCTAAGTCATTGCAACATTCAATGATGCTTGATGAGTTTAGTAGGAGGGTTTCTTTTGATGGTAGTAGTAGGTTGAGTTTGGATTTGGGAAGTGCTGCCGAGTTGTTAAAAGAAGGTAATAAGCAAAACCCAGATGCCAATTCTGTAAATGAGGCTTCTTGTGTCTCTTGTGATCTCACTGCGTCTGACACAGAAAGTGTGTCTTCTGGGAGCACCAATTCTGGAATGCAAGAATGTGGAGGAAGTGGGATTTCGAAAGGGAGGAATGGACCTCGTAATATTGTTGTGTCTGCAAGGTTTTGGCAGGAAACTAATAGCCGGTTAAGGCGGTTACAGGATCCGGGTTCACCTTTGTCTACAATTCCTGGGTCTAGAATTGGTGCTTCAGCTAAGTTCAGTCAATCAAGAAGGTTTTCTAGTGATGGTGCAGTGTCTTCTCCGCGGACAATGGCTTCTCCTATTAGGGGAGGTACAAGACCTGCTTCTCCTAGTAAGCTCTGGACATCTTTAGCTTCATCTCCATGGAGAGGGCTAAGTCCTGCTCGGGTGAGAAATGCAGTTGGTCAGATGATTGGTAATTCTGTTAATACCCCTTCAATTCTTAGTTTTTCTGTTGATATTCGGAGAGGAAAGATGGGGGGTGATCGGATTGTTGATGCACACATGTTGAGGCTTCTTTATAACCGTTACTTGCAATGGAGATTTGCAAATGCAAGGGCAGATGCTACTTTCATGGTGAAGAAACTGAGAGCAGAGGTATGGTTATTCTCCCTGTCCTTCTCATTGTTCTCAATATGTTCAATGCTCATGTCTACTTGATTTTTTTTGTGATATTTGGCGAATACTTCAATTTACTTCATGGTAATAGTTTGTCAAACAAGCTGAACCCAAGTAGTTTATGGTAAAGATTAACCATGATGCAAATGGCATCTTAGTTCTTGAATGATGGTGTCCTCATAGAGAGCATCATAAAGTCTTGTCCAAAACATGGCATTATGTAATTTGTTTATATCCGATATTATTGAATTAAGTACCAAGGTTGCATCTCATTTAGTTATCCTGGCCACATGGAATTGCTCATAGTTCCTAAGAAAGTGTATACTTCTCCTATTTATACTTGCTAAGAATTTAGATTTATATTCAGAATGATCTTAAGGCAATATATTCTCTTTTTTAATGGTAAAATCCTTGATGTGATCAATGATTGGCGAGTTGGCCACTTGTTAAAGATAAGAACTATTACTCCAGGCAGCTTTGGCTTAGTACTTATTAATGCAGAATGGTGCAAAATTATTGAGAAAGAAATAATAAATGTTATTGGCAGCCTCTTTGCACCTCTATTATTCTCTTACTAGAGTGCTTATGGGTAACTTTAATTACTTAAACTTCCTAGTAGAATTTTGAGTTCTTAATGTTACAGCAAGGCTGAAGGTCTAGACATTTTATCACATTGTGTAAGATAAGCTCGCTCTTTGGACGGCCTCCATTTATCAAAAATGGATGCTGATGAATGTTTTTACTTTGGCCTTATTGTCATTGTACCACTATCCCTAAGGTCCTTGTTTATTTTCAACTTATAAGTAAAGAAGGGCTAATGATCTAAAAAAACCTAAGGGCCCATTCTGATGGTTTGAGTTGTTATATGGGTCAACATGGAGTGAGTGTTCAACAATAAATATTGTAAAAGACTGTACTTGGCTGATGAATTTGATCTGTGATGTCAAAGTAGATGAGGCTAATCTTGTGTATCTTTCATGTCATAACTATGAATTTATGAAGAACTTTTTAATCTCTCTCTCTCTACTGTTGTAAATTTGCATAATGGAATGTTTAGTGGACTTATGGGAAGATGGCAGAGATTAGAAATAAGGTTGCCGAGGAATCATTTAAATGATAGATTGGTTTCGACCAGTGTGTCGTCAACTGGCCAGTGATGCCCTTATTCTGTTCTTGACAAGAGAGAAGTGATGATGCTGACTGCATACTGGTTAAAGGGTGCCTATTCAAAGATTAAAATAACTGGTACAATTAGAAAGATTGCTCTGGTTCTAATATTCTTTAGAATGTAAGCACTTCTCCGGTAATGAGAACCAACGTTTGGGAAAGTTGGGCTGCAGGGTTTTTGCTATATAATAAACGGAAATGGTTAAGTATTCTTTTATCACCAGTTTGATATAAAAAAGAACTAGGTTAAGAAAACAATAATTGAGTTGATGTTTAACACGATTCTTTCTCATAAAGCTGGTTTTTTCATATTCTTTTGTACCAGAAAAATCTGTGGAATGCATGGGTAACAACATCAGAACTGCGGCATTCTGTCACCCTTAAGAGAATCAAGTTGCTATTGCTGAGGCAAAAATTGAAATTGACTTCCATCCTGAAGGGACAAGTAAGATTCAAAACTTCACATTTTCAAAGTATCAAATCGAATCCTTGTCAACCTTTTCATTGGCACAACTGCTTCAGCTATTTGATTATGTTTATACCTTCAAATCTGTATCCTTGCTTTCATAGTTCAGAACAAAGCACATGCTGCGTCAGTTCCAATTGACTTCCATATGGATGAAAGTAAAAAAAAGGCAACATTATTTGGAACACATTGATGAGGATGAAATTATTAAAATTGGGATTTGGGTGTAATAATGAGTTTTTTAGTTTTCAGCACTCTTCTATGGGGGCTGCCTTGCCTTGTACACATTGCCTTGGGCTTTAATTATCCCTTTAGAAACCTGCTTTAGAAGCAGTCACCATTCACTTACATCATGACTTGAGTATGTACTGAACATTGGTCCTACTTAAGACACCGAAAAGATGCAAAAAAGGAAAATTAGATTTATTATTCTTGTCTGCAGTAGTGAATGGTACAGTGATTATTTATGTTTTAATTTCATCTACCTTCTGGAGTCAGAAGAAGTCAGGAAGAAAGCAAGCAAATAAGAAATTGAGGAAAGTCAAGAAGAGAAAATTTTGTACTACTATATTTCAATTCCAAAAGGAAATAGGCTGTTGATGACTTGATAATTTGATTCTTCCTCAGTTCCTCTTGTTGCCTTGTCTCCACTTTTTACTGCATGCCTGTTAGAACAGATCTAATCCTTTCCATACTCTGTTACCAGGTACTGGCTTTTATAGCATGAATTTTTCCTCCTCATGACTAAAATTTGTTATAATTGGTGAGTGTAGATAGCTCATTTAGAAGCATGGGCCCTCCTCGACAGAGACCATTCTAGTTCTTTGCTAGGAGCAACCGAAGCTTTAAAGGCTAGTACTCTTCGTCTTCCAATTGTTGGGAAAACAATAGTAAGTTTCTTCCTTTTTCTGTTTTCCCTGCTTTTCAATATACAATCTATTAATGGTTCAGCTCAGGACTATCGGTGTTGTTTAAAATGTTGCTTATGTTTCTTTTCCCTTTCTCTGTTTTCTCTTGTAATAGGCAGATATCCAGAATCTGAAGGATGCTGTCAGTTCAGCAGTTGATGTGATGCAGGCAATGGCATCCTCAATATGCTCACTATCATCAAAGGTAAGATTCGTGTACTTTTTTAGACATTACTGTTACAAAAAATCATTGAATTCTTTCCTGTGGTAATTATTTGTATTTCCACTACTTTTATGAAGTTTATAAATAAATGCCACTAACACATGGAAGTTCTGAAGCTGTGTTCTTGCTGTTGCCTAACAACATGGTCTTGTTTTGCTAGTTTGTTTTAATACTTATGGTCATCTGATTAAGCTGGTTGTAAATTGTAATGGCTTGATCATAGCTCAATAGCAAGTCCTATATTTGGTTTTCTGACATTAGAGAAAAAAAAAAAGGAACTATGGCTGCGGAACATGGAAAATGCAATTAAAAGTTAAAAATTAAAACTCTTATGGTTTAGTGGGTTATATCTAACCATAATCTGCTGGTGACACATGAACTGCACTAACACACCGGTTATATGTTGTACTTGTCTTTTCCTTTTTGGATTGTTTGTTGACTTTGGTTTGATGCCTAGGCTAGTAAAGGAAATTGTAGATAGATAAGAGTTTGGTACAAAATGAGTGATTAAAGTACTCAACCACAAATAAGAGTCTTGAAGCTAGAGAGGCAATGGAAACTTATATCACCATTTGTCGGTGGGCCTTAAAAACAGAGATATGATACTCCATAGTGGACTTTCTCTAATGGGAAAGAGAAGCTTTCTGGAAGGTTATACCAAAAAGAAGAGAAAGTTAATAGAAAAATCCCTTCCAGCTGATTGGATTCCGTGCCCGTCTCTTACTATCTAAATATCAGATCTGACATTTTTGTCGACAGGAACTGTTATTGTTGATCCAGGGATGCGTAGTAAGTTTCCATTAAAGAACAGATATTGTACTGGCTTTTCCAGCAGTCTTGTCCCGCATCCTTGAAGTAAGGCACCAAATATACAATGATTGTCGCCTGTGGGGCATCTACTTTTGCAGCTGAAAAGCACACTTTCTAAGTTTGTGATATTAGTGTCACACCTTGACGGAACATATACTAACTTAATGCTATTGAATGTGCTCTGACAAGAAAGGGGAAACAGTTCTAATGAAGCCGTCAGACCTTAAAAAAGTGATGAAAGAAGAGGGGAAAAAGAAGGAAATCTCATAGCTTGGTGGAGCCTGTTTGTTTATGTTTCACCTGAACTTGCACTGTAAAAGGGGCAAATCTACCTAATTACCTAATATCATTTGTCCTTTGCAGGTGGAGGAAATGAATTCTTTAGTGGATGAACTTGTGAGTGTGACTGCAAAGGAAAGGCTTTTGCTTGAGCAATGTAAAGATTTTTTGTCCACGTTAGCAGCCATTCAGGTAAACAAAAGGCGTTTTGTTTTATTTTCCAAGCTACATTCTGCTTCATCTGATCATCTGGCTCATTGGAAATCTTTTCAATAGGTTAAGGACTGTAGCTTGAGGACACATATAATACAACTAAATCGTGTATCCACACTACCAGCAGCCTGACAACACGTGTAGAACTGATCTTCTTTGACTACTCACCCTAAATGCTAACATTACACCCCAAGCTCATGTTTTCCAATGGGTGGAGGCAGCACCGGACAAAAATAAAGAGCGGATTCAATTTAGCTAGGTTTGGCTTCTCATTTTAGCAGTTTTGGAACCAGTTATCTTCTCTAGTCACGCATGTAATTTTTGCATCTGAAGGTTAGAGTAAGTGGCGTTTCCTCTGAACTGATTCTGTATACAAGAACTATTTCTGTTTTTTTTTTTTTTTTTTTGGTTAGGTGAAAGAAAGCATTAATGTATATGTAAATATGTAAGCTCATCTGATAACCCAATTATCATGTATTTCTTGGCCTACTTTGATTAATCATCTAAATATGATTTTGTTGATGCTTTGTTCGATCAAAGTCCATTTCCATTTTCTTCAAATTCATTGAACTGTATTGGCGTTGATGTGGTCAGTGTATGTGTAACCCAAGAATGATTGCATGAAGAGGAAACATGCTTTCTTGCCCGAATTAAGCAAACCTCCTTGATCAAACAGCTCTCTGCCGAAATTTCTTTTATCGGAGGTTTTCTAACCAGGGTGAGATGGGCACTGAGGGTTTCTCTATCTGACATGGATAGTCATGATCAACGTACGAGGCTGAAAACAAAACATATGATTCATGAACACGAGGAATAGTCACGAGGGACCTAGAGAAGGGTCGTCCTTTCCCAATTTTTTTAAGTATTCTCATCAAATTTTGAGGAAATTTAGGTAGAAGTTTTAGTGGTATTTGAGTTGCAGTACCTGATTTGTTTTCTGACGAGGGAAAAAAAAACTATGGATAGAAAAAAAGGAGACAAGACAGCAATGAAACAGTGTTGACCAAACATCACTGTAGTTAGTGACAACTCATGTTTTTCAGTCCGGCGCATGGGGGGGGGGGGGGGGCTCAGCTCAAATATCCACTGAACTGCGCCCACCACTAACATGCGCAGCCGTCTACTCGTTTGACCTCCACCTGTCCAGTCTGCCCTTTACACATTTCTTTCTTCACATTTAAGGCTGGCTTTCATCTCTAGTTCTTTCCTTCCTTTTGTTTTGTTTCCTCTTTAATTTACCTTTTTTTCTAAACCCTAAAATTAAAAAAAAAATTTATTGATTCTTTGTTCAATGAAGCAAGAAAAGTAGAAAAGCAGTGTACTAATTACTTTGTCTTTGTTCTTCCCATCTTCTTTTTTTATTTCAGAAATTGCTGGAAGTGGATGATTTTATATTCTAAGAGCTAAGAAATTGCAAAGGAAATGATAAGATAGAAACGGAAAGGTTCCACTTCCAGGGACCATTATTTGTGGACTGTGGTGATGGGGTTAAACAGCAATAAATCAATTGCGAAATGCATTGGAATGGACCCCCCCAACCCCAAATATTGAGAAAAGAAGAAAAACCTATGGCTAACAGCGTCTCCCACCACCAAAAATAATTCTCGTCTGTAATTGCTCTCCCCTCCACAGTTCCATTTGACATTTTTTATATGCTCTCATAGTTTTGAATTTTGATATTAGGTTGTTTCTTCTAAAAATGATAGGTCACTCACTCAGATAGGATCATAGGACCTAGTCTAAAACGACCCTTCAAAGTAAGCTAGTCTCACATTTTAACTCCACCATTGCCCAGATTTTGCTACTTCTGTTCATATTTCACGCTGCAAGGTTTTCAATGTTATTCAATGCCATTTTTCTTCTTATGTAATTAATGCCAGTATTCATGCTTGCAAGCATGGAATGTATGATTTTATATTAAAAGACTATCCTTATAAATCACAACAATTGTTCATTCAAGTAGTTGTCTATGTCTGAAAAAGAACAAATGATCGAGCAACATGTTTTTTTTCTTCAAAATTAAACATAAATGATTTCACTCTATCTTCATGTGGGATTAAAGTTTAAGAAAAAAGGAAGGGAATTAAAGGAGACCGCTTCTTATTCAATAAAAACTCATACATAATTTTTTTTTTTTTACATATATAAGGGAAATTCGAAAATACTACAAAACTCATCGAACTTCACCGTGGCGAATATAGAAGAAAAGAAAGATCGTATCTCATAGTTCCTTAACTTATACCAAAATAAACGATTGAAAAGTTTTCTCAGATGAACAGTCTCAAAAGTTTTTGTTCATCGCCCTTTGAACTACTGCCATCTCCAGAGCGGCTTCCCAATGTCGTTGTTTCGGACTCCTCTGACGGCGTAGCTTCTCTCGTCCTCTTCACTGCTCTATCATCACCGATCATCAAGCAGAGATCAAGATCAGTTGCTTGACATTTAACCCCGTCACCAAAACCCTTCCTTTTCTTAAAATCTTCCTCTCTTGTCAAGAAACACTGCCCGTATCCACCAACCGTTTCTGAAACATCCTCAAAGTTTGACCCTGAAACCCGGCCGCTAAATTCGGGTAGCGGCTCCAACGCGCCTCCTTGAAGCACCTTCTGCACCGCCGACTGGCAGACGTTCCAGTTCCCACTCCATAGCAATCCCACCGCTCCACTCACGGGGTTCACCGCCCGACCCACAGCTTCAAACAAAAGCGACTGAAACAAAACTGCAAACCCACATACATATACCAATCAGATACAATATGAAAAGGTAATATTGAACAGAAAATGGAGAGAAAAACTCAACTACTAGTAGAAAATGGAATTACCAGGTCGTTGAGATTGAGGCACGGAGTAAAGGAAAGACATAAGGCTGGCACGGCCAAAGAACTTGGCCACAAAAACGGTGGCGTGTGCTTGGGCTTGAGGGTTGTCTATACATTGCAAACTTTGCCTAAGCATGCAATTTTCATTGCACCCTTTTCGGAGAACTCTGCAGCCATTGCAACTCATCCTGAGAGACCTTTCAGCATAAGAAAATACGAAAGAAGAAGAAGAAGAAATAAGTTTGGGAAGGGAATACAGAAAAATATAAAAATAAGTTTTTTTGGGTGGGAAGGGAATACAGAGAAATATATAGAGAGAGCCAAAGTGCATGTGGAGAAATGTATATGGTTACCAATTTGAGGTGGGTTAGGTAACCATGGTTTATTTTACATATAGAATTTTGGAGCTAACTGTGGTTAAGGGGAATTTGATAAAATGACTTTTGGGTGGTTTGGTGTTCCAAAAAAATGGGTGAGAAGCGGCTCCGGGTCTCCGCTTGGATTCTTGTCCTTGATGTCTATGACTATAGATTCTTTCCTTTTCTGCTTTTACAAGTCATGGCTTATATAAAGACCATGGAGGGCGCGTGGAGGTGAACACCATGTTCAATTGTGAGAAATTGGTTGGCATAATTCATAAACTTTCAATTGGATTTTGGCTTAAAAATAATGCATAGGTCCATCTAATTTTTTGATTTGGAAGTTTATTTAAAGCCTTCTTGATTATAACAAAAGGGGTTAATCCTAACATTAATACGAGTTATTGTTAAATAAAGGTTAAAGGAGTTAGAATCAAAGTGGCTGTACTTCCAAAGTGAGGATACTAGGAAGAAAATTGGGTCATCTGAGAGGACGAGACTGGCAGAAGAGAACACATCGAAGTTTTAGTCACGACTCAGGCAGGTGGCATCGTTATCCAATACTTTGGTCCACAACGAAGGCATCCAAATAAAAAAAAAAAAAGTCTAGTCAATGTTACAAGCAAGAAAACAATGTCATTTTTTTTTTTTTTTGGGTGGAGAATGGGATTCTGATCCATGACCATTGGCTTAACTTTTCTTTGGCTTCATGCAAGTTAAAAAAAAAAAGTTTAAAAAGTAATGAATGTGGTGAGGCAGTAAGATGGTGCTGGCCGTATTTGAAACCACAAAGCCCTTAGATGGTGAGAGTGTGACGTAATGAAATCTTGGTGCTTTTTCCTTGACAGAAAACAGATCATTTTTAACTGTCCCTTCCAGGTAATAGAAGGACAAATGAGGTTTGGGAGGTGGATTTAGGCAAGAATTATAAGGGTCAGTTTTCCATGAATCTGAATTTATATTCAGATTTTCCTTGATTGAGAATCTAATCTCATTTATATGCTTACATTTTGCACTGCCCTTTGAGCTGGTTTATTTACATGCAATAGAGAAAAGCTCTTTTCTTCCTTCCTCTTTTAGAAGGATCTTGAATAAAGCACAATGATTGAAATCTAATTATACAAAAAGTTGACTTCAAATAATGGGAAAATTTTTCATTTAACTCAATTAATTTATATAATTATAGTTAAAAATTAATATCTAATAGGTTTAGGGTTCAAATACTGATACTTGCAGTGTCTTCTCCTATATATTCCTAGATTACGGTCTATTTTGCAAAAAAAAAAAAAAGGGTAAAAACTCTAGTCTTATTGTTATCTTAATATAAGAGGTATTATATTATGATCAAATTTAAAATATTTAAGTTTAATAACATTTTTGTTCTTGAATACAAAATACAAAAAGGATCGGCCAATGCAAGAATATTTTTAGTTCAGTTGAATATATAAAAGATATGATTTGATGATAGGTTAAAGCCAATACTTTGTAATTTACGCTCCTGAGAAAAATTTTACTGGTTGGTTTTGTGTCTTTATGCGGTGGAGTTTGTCTCAGATAGATCAACTTAGGGCAGCTTATCGAAAACCATTGAGATAAACGGTAAATGAAAAGGTACAAGCGGCCTATCAGAACTTGAAGTTGACAGCTAGTTTATTTTATTGGAAAGCAACATTGTAACCTTTGGCTAAACTTTTTGCTGCATCACATTTATAAAGGATAATTTCTTAATATTTTTATCCTTGATTTTATTGATAATGGCTCGAAAATCATGTCTCCTTCAATTGTATTATATGCGGAAAACTGGCTTTTGATAAATACCACTAATGACGATAATCTATAAGCTTTAGGGTTGTTGGTTAGTTCAGAAGGTACTTTTGTTTGTTTTTGCAGGGTTCTGATGGGGATTGTGTCCTTTGCCCAATGGGTGCCATGTCTTTGACTTATCAATATTACTTACTAAAATGTAGCAGAGATTGTAATCAAGCTTGGTTTTTCCCAGATAGAATATCAGCTCATTTGTTTTCAACAAAAAAGGTGGACAGGGCATCTTGCAATTATACTCAAAGGATTACAGATCTTTCAACAAAGCTACTTGATTGAAAGAACCAAGGAGTGAATCACTTTTCTTTCCAGTTATTTGTTACAGAAACATAAATTTTGAAGATTTTGACCCCAAACGTTTCATTCCATATTGACTGGCGAAATCATCAAGGACAGTGGTGTTGAACCAACACTCATATTTCTGCAAATGTTCACATTGCTTGAAGCTCTCAAATTTATGTTTTGGTTTTGTAGGAAAGGCAAATGGCAAAGTTCCTGGCCCCTGAAGGGCGAATCATTGATTAATACTCTAGACTGTAGTCATTTTAATAAGATTTCTTCCACTATTGCCCAACCTTAAGGTAGCCAATTCCCCTTTCAGGGCCTTGAGCGATCCTCGGCTTTGGCCACTGCATCCCAATCTTCCTCTGGGTTGGTTGCTGCTGACCTTGAGATCCACTATTTAGATCCTTTAGGCAGGCCTCCTTTAGTGTTACTTCCTGATGAAGTACCAGCCGTAACATGCTCGAAAAAGAGAACCTGCACAGCTACACGCAATGGGAGCCTCTCATTTTGCACAGCATGCATACATGCATCAACTGATAGTTTCTTGCAGTCCATTAACTTGCATATTCTTTTTCTCTCACTCTTGCTAATCCGCGGGTGCTAGCTCCTGCATTGAAGCACAGTAGAGTTAAAGTTATCTATAAGCAAAGTCACAAGTCAAATTGGTTTTGCCTTCACAACAATAACAGTGGCAGACAGAGACTGGCTCAAAAGGTTTATTTAACTGGCAGTTATGGTCTAGGAGATTGGATTGGATTGATGGCATCACTTCTTCAATTAAATTGAATTTTAGAAAAAAAAATCCCAATCCATATTTGTGGTTATTTTTAGATGCAAAGGCTTTACATAAATCTCATATTATATTCAAGCATAATGTAAATACCAATTTGATATGTATTGAAAAATATGGCCTTTGGCAAGAATCTCACCTTAAGATTCATGTCCATCTACATTTGACATGATACAAGAACAATGAATATCAGTCAGTCAGGAGGTGTTTGGAATTACGAATATATGAAATGTTAGACCAAGGATCAAGCCTTTGGATCTTCAAAACTTGGATGATCGGATTCTGAAGTCCACTGTGGTTTTTTGTATTGACCAAACGGGCCACGATAACCTGTCAAACCCACCCAAGTTAAAATTTTTCCTTGACTAAAAAGATTAAGGCCCATAATGTAATGACATGCGAATCCCACATATTAATGATTTAATTCTTGTTTGATTATTATTAAGCTACTATAAAAAAAAAAGAGTTAAAAGAAAAGATAAAATCAATGAAAACTAGAAATATTTATACTCTTTTTTATTTTTATAATTAAGAAAAAATATTTAATTACAAAAATAAATAGCTTTAACTTCTAGCAATTAAAAACTAAAAATAAAATTTTGTGAATAACAAAAATGCACAAATAAAATTATATTTAATTTGTATCATATTTTATCAATTTGTCCCCTTTAAACCAAATTGGTTTGAGATCGACCAAACCAAAGCAGCCTGGATTGCATCAAATAAACTTTTACTTGTCCTTAGCCTCAAACAAAGATCCGAACCTTTTTTTTTTTTGTTATATCAAGAGGTAAAGTCTTAATACAAGTAAGAGAAATGAGAGAAGCTTGGTTCAAAATCAGATTCTTAATGTCTTCTCAAATGCCTTAACTATTAAGCTAAAAGCTCGGGGACAATCCAAACCTATCTTCAATACTAACAAATACTGTGAAGGACGCCACCCACCTTATGTAATTAGGCTAGGGGTTCAACAGTCATGACCAATTATTTCAAAAAAAAAGTCATGACTTATTTTTATGCTTTTAAAGTTAAGTTTGACTAATTTTAAAAGGCCGCTAATCTTTTAATAATTCATTTTTATGCAATAAGCATATATTAGAAGGCAATAGAAATGGTCCAAAAGGCTTGAGATGATATGCATACTGTTATAAGAAAAAGAAGGCCGAGTTAACTTTGTTTCCAAAAATTTGGCTAACTTCCAAAGGAATGGGAAGGGTAGTTAGAGCTTAGAAGCGAATATAAGATTCATATAATAATAAAACCATGGTTTATATTTTATTATTTTATATATTTTTAGTACTCTCTTATTTAAGATGATCAGCCCACTAGTATCAATTGACAATAGGTGTCAAAGTCTTATTATATTTATTTACTTATATGCTCTCAATTTAATTAATGTGAGATTTTTTTCGTCGATAAAATTAATAAATTTATTGATAATTTATATATATATATAGCTCAAAACAAATTCTAAATGTATCATTATCTGCTCTGATAATATTCATGTATAAAATAATTGGTACGGAAACGCTTGTTATATTTATATATAAAATACTTTCAATTTAATTAAAGTGAAATTTTTTTTTTAATCTTCACTTTAATACTTTTTTTATCTTTTTATTTTGAATATATACATATATATAATATTTTAAAAAATAAATATACAATCATATATATTAAATCAAATACTATGATGCATTTTTAATTTTTTTATTAATAAAAATTAAGTAATAATTTGATAAGCTTGAGAACGTGAAAAAGTTTTCATAGAATCATGGTTATACTAGCATGTCAAGTAAGACCACGAGTTTTTTGCATGCAATAAATAAAAATATGTTCATATCATCTTGATTGATATAAATTTTACAAGTAATTGTTTATTACATTTAAAACATGTGATAGCTGTCATGCCACCCTAGATCATCTTTTCTTAATTATTATTAGTATTATCGTCAATCGGAAGAAAAGCCTTTTTGCCAATTTGCAATAGCATCGCTATCCGATAAAGAAAAGGATAGCTATAGGAATCTTTATGGTGAAATTAAGATGACAGCATGAAGCAAAAGGAGTGAATGGAGAGAAAAATCCACTGAATGTACATTAATTACAAATTTTAACATATTTAACAGTTGCAACAGACCGGAAAGGTATTGATTTTGAGTTTTGACATATATTTTAATTCGAGAAAAATAATATTAATTTTGATTATTTATGTATTTATATCATATAAAATATTAAAATTTATATATTTATATTATATTTTATATAAAAATTATGTGTCATAATTCGTGTTAATATAAAAATATAATTTTTTTGTTTTGTTAGACTTATATATAATTAATTATTAAAATTTTAAATCGTATCATTTTCGTATCTTATTTTTTATCATATTTATATTATGTTACTGTATCATATTTTAAATTATTATATTTAAACAGTACAATGAGGAGAATCAAAACAAATTTTTGTACTTGTAAATGTTAATCCAATTAGTAAAAAGATAATTTTTTTGTCAATTAAATTTCAACGTTAAACTAAAATTTATTAATTTATTTGGAAAACAATTACTAGGTGAAGCCTAAAAATCTTTTAATGCTAAAAAAAAAATGGTGATCGTATTTGAAAAATAGTTATGTACTATTTAAAAGAGTTTGGCATTAAAATTTTGGAAATTAAGTTAAAAAGAAAATGATTGTGAAGTTGCATTATAATAAAAACAATGTTTTTCAGGATTTTCGCATTGTCTTCCGTTCATTTTCAGGATTTTCAAGGACTCTTCTTCTTTCATTAATATCGCCAAATTAAATACCAATAGATATAGCCAAAGCCCTTAATATAATGAAAAAATAATTCATATCGGCACATGATTTTGTTTGATACACACATCGTTGACAAACGTTTTACACATAATAAACTTTGGGTTCATACTTATTTTCCTCTCACACGCAAAAAATACTTTTGCTTTTTTTTTTTCTTTGCCTCTTGTAAATCTATTAATTTGTGTATTTTTGTATAAAATATTAATAATTCATGTATTTATATTATATTTTATATAAAAATTATGTGTTATAATTCATGTCAATATAAAAATATGAAATAATTTTTTTATTTTATTAAATTTATTTATAATTTTTGTTAAAACTTTAAATTATACTATTTTTGTATTTTTTATTCATGTCGTGACGCTTTGTCGTCGTTGAGATTGTTAGATCTAGCTTTTCGTCATGTTCAAATACAGGGAAGCTACATTGTCTTTGCACATGCCAATCCGGAAAACCTAGTATAATATTCTTCCTTTCTCACACTGTCTAACAAAGGCCTGCATCCCAGTTTATCATAATTTTCTCGTTCTTATCTGTAAAAACTTAAAAAAAGTCATAATTTTCTTGCCAGATGACTCAAGGAAGGAACATATATTCTAATATCCTTGTTTTACTAGATAAGTTGAGACATATTAATTATTCCATGGAAATTAAGAAAATATAATCTAGCCGCCTGCATCAAAAGTGGCTATGATAACACGCCACTCTTGGCATCCGATTGAACTATGTAGAAGAGAGGTAGAACACTTCTTCAAGTTAAGAGCACGTACAGTAGAAGGATTGCAGGGCGTTCACACAATTGGAAAGCTTTTGTTAATTGTTTGTTATTTACGTAGAGAAGTAGGACAGACAAACCCCAAGTAACGTACCTTGAATGTTTCAGTGGGTCGCATTTGGTGGGAAAGAAAGTAAGAGGAAATTGAGGAATAAGAAAATTACTAGATGCCTAGATAGATTGAAAGACAATGATCATTTCGAGGAAACAGGTGATCAGATAAATTTTTTACCATCACACGGTTTGAGATACCAATTAACTGCCCTCCGACTCGATTCTTGATTTCAGCTTATCTCTAATCTCCAAACTAATTAATTATAAACCATATTAAGCAATAGCAGAATTGACTTTTAACAGTCGTGGGGATTTGGAATTAATTTAATACAGTGTGTTGGTAGTGTATATATCTATGTCACAAGTGTCTCAAAAGCCACGCAAAAAGTGTTGCAGAAATATGGGTATTATCATCATCATCATCATGATTATGATCCAGTGATCATGCCTGCCAACATGTGCATTAAAAGCATTAAACCACATGGGATTGATGATAGTTAGCGGTTTGAAGTACGTACTTTGAACCATCTACCCTAACATGGACTGGTTTTCTTCTTTGTTAACACCATCGCCATGACTGCCTACCTCTTGCCTGCTGTCCCTTCGCTGTTAACGCGGCAAAACCTTTCCCTAGTTAGCTCACTCCTTTTATAAAAAAATTGATAACAATAGTAATATATCATTTTTATTAGGGAAAAAAGAGCTTGACTTTTTTCTTGGGAAAAGTTGAAATTCAGCAGCAGTAAGATTCACTGTACAGAATCTTTAATAAATGAATGGATGAATTGCCAAATTGGGAGAGCTCACAGACAATGAACAAATTCCCTGTACAGAAGAATTCATCAAATACAAATCCCATAATCAATTAAACATAAAATGAAAAATAAAATCATTAATCTTTGTAAATTCAATTAATTCTATAAATCCAAAATTAATCTTGTGCTAAAGAAGAATCCTGCTTCTCATCCTTAGAAATCAAGCTGAAACGAGGTTTCTTGGTCGGCAATGGACTTTCAACCTCTTGTTCTGCATAGATTTGACTAAATCTTCCATCTTTGTTTTCCCCACAGAACTCTGGCAAAGCAGGCAAGTTCAGGTCAAAGTCAAAGCCAACGCGGTGGCTTTGGCTCAAGGCACCGCCGTCTGACAACGTCACCCCACTAACGCTAAAGCTGACGTTACCACTCTTGTTACTGTTGTTATTGTTGTTGTTGTTGCCACCTTCGTAGTGGCAGCGTTTGTGGCCTCCCAAGGCTTGGCCTGTAGGGAAAGTCTTGTGGCAGATGTTACACTCATGGGCCCTACCGTTAACGCTGGTGGCGCTGGTGGTGATGCTAGTGGTAGATGGATTATCAGCGTTGGTGTTAGCAGCGTCGGTGGAGGGTTTCCGATGGCTGGCTTTATGCCCACCCAGAGCTTGGTAAGAAGGGAAAGCCTTGTTACAAACACTGCACTTGTATGACAATTTTAAAGCTGGAGGAGCAGCTGCTAGTACCGATGACGACGAAGACTGACGATAATCATCTGCACCGTTGACGTTGGCAGCGGCGGAGTTTGTGCTGTCGTTGGCGGATCCACGAGCTAGCATGATGAGACAGAGAGCAAGGTACTCTTCTTCAGTCGGTGGAGAATCGGTACGTGGTCGCTTTGTACGTTTGCCTTTCTTCCATGTCTCGAGATAATTGTTGTCGATGTCCTCATATTTGTTGCTGAAAGGTGTAGCCGTGGTAGGAGAATTCAGAGCTTCAAGAGCCATATTCTTCAAAATCTTCAAATTCAATCAAGTTCTAGAAAAAGATTGATAGAAAGACAGAAAAGAAAGCAAAGAAAAGGATACCCTTTTACGGTTTTTTTTTTTTTTTTGGGTTTGAGAGAGAGTGTGAAAAATGGTTGGACGAAAGGGGTTTATATATAGAGACAGAGAGAAGAGTGGAGAAGGGCGTGGGACAAGCATGGGCCGGTGAATTGGTAGGAAGCAGTGATGTATGTCAACTAAGAGGACAGGGTGGTGTGGATGTGGAGACTGAACTTCTTTTGAGATTAAAGGACTGCTACCAAGTCAAAATAATGCTACGTGATATGGTCCTAGACAAGGTTTCGATTCTCATATCTTACATCGGTTATATCGGTTCAATATTAAAATTAATTTTAAGATATAAATATTCACATTATTTTTATTTTATAAAATATTTTTATAATTATGAGAATAATTAACTCTCATCGAAATAAAAAAAATATCATGATTTAAAAAAAAATCATAAATTATATCGATTATATATTAAAATTAATCTTAAAATTAATTTATAAGATCAATCGAGATAAAAAAAAAAAAATACCTCTGATGTAGACCGTGACACTACACCTGCTTACACTTATTAGTACTGCTATTTCAAACCCTAACCCCCACCCACCCCCCACCCCAAAATTGGGCAATTTAGAAAGGATAAATGAATCCACTTGAGTTTTGGGTCTTAGACTAAAACTCTCTATTAATCACCAAAATCTTGATGAAATATTTTCTTTTTTTTTGGCATGTATTTAACCATTAAAAGAATGGATTGTGCAGTGATTTTTTTTTTTTAATGTCAAAAGTAGATACATTGATTTTGTATTTGATTAGGCATGGTCTATGCATTTTTCATGATGAAGCAATCAAGTGGGTTTGTATCATTTAAGAAGAAATAAATGAAAACAGTTAAATTACTTCGTGGCTATTAAACAGTATACATAATAATAATTTGCTCATTAAAAAATATATTAATTACATAATAATTAATGGTTCGGCATGCCCTTTTTTCTTGTTAAAAACCAATAAGAAAAAAAATTCGAATATTTAAGCTACTTTTATAATTGTCAAACAGTTTGCCTTGTCACTATGAAGTCACTTTTGCCTTATTCTTCAAGAAAAATGTTATATGTACTCATAAATTAAATATATAAAATATTTAATTTAAAATTAATTGATTATAATATAAAATAATAAAAATTTATAATTTAATAGATATAAGATAATACGTATCTCATACACTCATTTAATAAATTCATATTTATTTAAAAAATACATTTTCATAATTTTATTATTTTTTATTTAAATTTTTAAAATAAAAATTAAATATAGAAATATATCTTTTGAATATAATGCTTTAACGCTTTCCTTCTTAATTTTTCCCCTCTTTTTCTTCTGAATGTTGCTCCACGTTGAAGCCTTACTGGCCAAACAAAAATTTTGAGAAATAATAATAATAAAAAAAAAATCAGCGCCCATGACTTGGTAAAATTGAAGGCCACGATCTTTCCTACTTAAAAAGTACATGGCAGTTTTTATTACTTTATTTAAAGATGTTAGATGCATTTAATTAAATTTATGATTAAAATTAATTTAAATTATTTTTATATTTAATTTAAAATATTAAATTTTAACTATAAAATTACTTAAAAGTGTATTTAATACATTTGAATTAAATAATAAAAACTTTTATTATTTTTTAAATAATGGAAAGAATCTTTATTTAAAGATAAATAATACATTTTCACTTAAATTTAAGATTAATATTTTATTATTTAAATTAAATATAAAAATAATTTAAATAAAAATATTTATTTTTAAATAAATAATAAAAATTTTTATTTCATTTTTAATGAAGAAAAAAATGCTTTGAAGTTGATAGTGGCTTCTGAGATGGCAGCTTGGCATCGGCGACTTTCTTGATTTGTGTTTGACTTTTAGTATCTCATTGTTGGTTGGCCTTTAGAAAGACAGCTAATTCCCGATAAACATTCATTATTGGCCACGTGTGGAACTGGAACACCAGTCCCATGATTATCTTCGTTCTCTACTATAAATAAACAAATCTCCTCCCACACTCTTCCTCCCTCCACGGCTCCTACCGACACGTAATCTTCATTTGATCCACTTCAAAGCCGTCCATTCCTTTGGAGTCACTTCAAGTACGCCACGTGTGTTCTTTTATAATGATTATGAAATATGTAGATGGGGCCAATAGTCGCATGATACGTGGTAACGTGTCAAATTTTTTAATTTTAATAATTAAATAATAAAAAAAATACCGTCTATATCTGTATTATAAAAAAATTTTAATATTATATTTAAATTTAAAAAATTATAATTAATATATAAATTATAAATATATTAATTAATTAAAATTTTCTCTATATATGATCGGTTGAAAACTAAATGGCGGTCCATTGTGCATATGAAGATTTGAATTTCCAATGGTTTTATGCAGATAAAAACAAATAATTAAGTAAAGTCATCATAGATAGGTTGTGTCATTGTGCCAATTTAAGAAATGATCCTTTTTTATCTTCAGAATTAGCCTGACTTTACCGAAAGATAGAACTTGACATCGAAATTAGGTATTGTTGAGATTAAAAATAGATCGGGGCATCATGATTATTCTATTTCTTTTATATGTAATATCGAATTATATAATAAAAAATAATTTTGTTTATCTCATAAATTTTATTTCATTCATTTTATACTACGAATGCAAGGATCTTCACTATAAAAGAAAATGGCTATGTCCATAAAAAAATCCTATTTAATGATTATAAATTTAATTATTAAATTAAAAAAAATTATAATCACTTCTTTTCATGTTTCATGCGTATCAAACAAAACCTAAGTTACGGCAGCAGTGGCGTAAAAAATGTACTAAAAGCCAACTACTCAGCAAGCTTTGATGGCCGCAGAAGGGTTCTCATTTGGGGAATGTTAATTTTGAGTAAAGGAAAACAAAAGCAAGTACAACCAGATGAGGTCATTCCTCACATAATCACTTTTCAATGGATAATACATGTGAAATTGAACAAGAACCATTGTGAAATTCTTTGGGTTTTGTTTGAATTTTCAGAGGCAACTTGATGGAACCTTTGGGTAGACTTGAAAATTTATTAATCAATGGAGACTTTTTTTTTTTTTAATTTTAATCTAATTTTAAACTTTGTTTACTCTATGATATATTTTACTTAAAAAAAAATATTACACATCTAAACTTTTTTTAATTTATAATTTTTAAGTGCTAACTCCCATGATATGTTGACTAATTCATGTTAAATTATACGTATATGTCCATGAAATTTGGTTCAATAGGGAGACCAAGTCAGCTAAGTAGTTCCGTCTACTCCGACCAAGCAAAGGAAGTTGCATCTATAACCAGTGCCAAGTAACAATTAGGGATGTAAATGATATATTAGTACTCGTAAATTATTCGGATTCGATTCGAAAAAAACTCGAATTCGATTCGATTATTATCGAATGAGCTCGAGCTCGAGTAGCTCGATTTATCGATCGAGTCGAATTCGAGTATTCTTATATCTGACTCGAGTAGCTCACGAGCTTAATCGAACGTTTATATTTAAATATATTTTTATTATTTTAATTAATAAAATATTTCGAGTTCGAGTATGAATAATCGAACTCTTATCGAATATACGAATCGAGCTTATTTTTACATATTAATTGAGCTTAATCGAGCGAGCTCGAATACTCGAATTCGATCACGAATCGAACTCGAACTTGAAAAATAAAACTTGATCAAGCTCGAGTCGAGTATCAAACTCCGAGTTGTGAGTCGAGCTCGAACTTGAGCTTCTCACTATTCAACTCGACTCGACTCGTTTACAGCCCTAGTAACAACCCTTCATTTCCCATTAACTCCTACAAAGAATTTTTTTTTTTTTTAATTCTCCTAATCGTGTTAGTAATGTTCTATAATTCAGTAGGTGGAGTCAAACATTAAACATTATTCACACAAATCACACTATTCTCATGCCATAATGTAACGTAAAAAAAAAAAATCCCAACCACTTTATCTGTCCTTAAGCTTTATATCTACATTTTAATATCAATTCAGCGTATGAATTCTCACGAAGGTCCGAAAGTGAAACTGAAATCGGCTGATGGTCTCAGCAGGATCGAATCTGAATTGGGCTGGCCAGTTATCCAGGCCTAATTTACTAATATAAAGAATATTTAAGCTCTATACAGTGGGATTGCTTGGGTAGGGCGGTGAGGCTTTACTAAAACCAATGTTATTGTGATTAAAATTTAAAAGTATTCACCATAGGGCTTACTTTTTCATTTTTAAACTTGAAATATTCCTCTTTAGAGAACAAAAAAAAAAGCTTAACTGAATTTGTAGCAATCTAAGATTGTGGATAGGGTTAATGTGTGATTTAACCTTAATTATATCACTTTTCATAATTTTGTGCTTACAAAAAAAATTCACGATTAAATACTTTGTTTTCATCAAATATTTTACCTCCCACACTAATTCTATTGACAGTAAATTAATATATCAAAAAAAAAAAAAAAACCAATAATATCATAACACATAACACATTTTTATTGATCAGTATTTGTCACATTATTTTGATTAACGATGTTAGTTAATAGTGCAAAACACTTAGACAAACAAAATTTGAATATCTAATCATAATTTTTTTTTATAAGTAGCAAATTGTTAAAAGTAATAAAATTCAAAGGTCAAATTATGCATTAACCCTACTGGATATAATGAGTAACCCTTTCACAAATGATATGATGTCCTAAAAGTATCAAATAGTTTCTAAACAAAAAGAGTTGACAAAATCCGTAAGATCAAGCTCTAAAGTTGGTCCGGAAACAGAAAATTGTTAAGAGTGTTCATCCATGGTAGAGAAATATTTCTAATAACTCAATTCAAATAGCCAGTCATTGTCTCATAATCTGCAGTAGAACATCTAAGCGTTATTGATATTTGAAAACAATGCACAGGTACAACTCAACCTAGTAATATTTTTCAACAGAAAGTGGAAAAAAACAACAGTAATCCTGTTGGCAACTACAGTATAGGTTTAGTAGAACCAAATTCACACGGATGTGAAAAAAAGGTTAAAAAACTCTAGCTTATGATTCAAAAAATATTTTCCAGATTAAGTTCAGACCATTCACTGAAGACTCACAGAGTATTTTAACATATTACA